AAAATGCATTAGGAGAAATTGCTTGCAGAAAATAAGTGTTTTAATCAATGTGTTTATTGGGGCAAATTTGCATCAAAATGCTGACAAATTTTCTGAAGGATTTCTTTTTTAAAAATTGTAGATTGTGGTGGCAATGTGGAAAACTAGTTTCAAGATGGGGAAAAATTGGAACGTAAAAGAAACCAAAATTGGTAGTCGCCCACCCTGCTTCTGACTGCACGATGGTCATGTATCGGTACAACTTCCCTGTTTTTCCTGTAGGGGACACTAAAGCAGGGCATGGGGCACCTGTGGCCTCTGGTTTCTACTCGACTGCAACTCTCCTCATCCCTGATCCCTGGCCAGGCTGGTTTGGGCTGGTGGCAGTCTCCCCAGCAACACCTGGAGGGCCATCGGCTCCCACACACCTCAAAGCTCTTTTTAGGCATTTTCAGTACCTTGCACAGCAATTTCATGTGCACTGCTTTCAAGTGTAAGCTGTGTTGCTCCTCAACTTGATGCTGTGACTGGGGAGCAAACCATGAGAGAGTGGAGGCATCCCTTGGCCAGTGTCATGTGTGGTTCCTGAAGGGCATAACAGCATCCTCAGGGAGTGAGATGTGAAATCTTGATACATGCATTTATTTATTCCCTTCTGTTTATTTTCTACCTTTCTTCTGGAGCAGAAATGTGCCGCCAGACTGTGTACCCTTTGGGATATAAGAGCTCTGCTGGGTCATGCCAAAGGCCCATTTAATGCAGAGGCTAACCAGATGCCCACCAGCAAGCCTTGAAGCAGGACCTAAAAGCAATACTATGCATGTCAGTCCTCTTAAAATAGCCTGCCCCTTCACCTGGAGGTTCTCTATAGCCATCATGACCAATTGCCATTGATAGAGCTGTTCTGCATAGCTGAAAGTATTAGTTTAGGGGTTAGCTCATGGATATTTGTATCATAAAGGGTTAGAGAAAATTGGGGGTTGACTGGCACTGGAAGGCCAGAGCACAAATCCCAATCCAGCTGCCTGGCAGGATGGCTTAAATCTTGCTCACGAGGTTTGCTCTTTTGCTCTCTGTAGATTAATGCTTACTGCCTCTTGAATACATTGTGAGGTCTACTTCTAATGTGAGCCAAAGGTAGATTTTTCCAGGATATACTGCTGTTCTGATAACACTGCTGGCTAGCCATCAAATCTGGCTCGCTATGGGACAGAAGATTTATTCCAGAGGCTGCAGCCGCTGGCCAGACAGTGATGAAAAACGGCTTCCTCCGGTGGCAAGCACCCAACCCTCACTGCTGGACCGTGGAGAGCTAGCCCAGCCGTTATCATGGCTGTTCTGGGTTGCTGAACCATTACAAAGCAAACAACAGGAGCTGGCTTTTCCCAGCCAGAGTCCATATATCATCCCCAGCACCACCCCACACGCAGACCATTCCACTGACATGCGAGAATGAAAGTGTGCTTTGCAGCATAACGCAATAGTTTCTTATGGGTGCGTTGTTTTTTTTTTTACTTTTAAAGGCATTGCAGAGAGTCTCAGTTTTAAGGGAACACACATTGGCTACTGCCAATCCATACACCCAGAATGGGTGTCTGAAATGAGCTCACTGTGCTTGTGCCTCTGTGTGCGCATTGTTGTTGTTTTCTACCAGTCTTTAGCTGAGAAATGAGAGCAGAGGTGGAATGTGGGGTTGGGGGGACGGCACCAGAGTTTTGCCCCAACTCACAGAAGTTTGTAGGACACATAGCATGGAGAATATAGATTTTTCTGTGTGTGTCGTAATAGCAGAACTTGCAGGCATCCCATGAAGCTCAACGTTGGACGAGTCGGGATGGATAAAGCAAAACACTTATTCACACAGGGCATGTAGTTGAACTGTGGAACTCCCTCCTGCAGAAACCAGTGATGGCCACCAACTAGGATGGCTTTGAAGAGGATTATATGTATTGGTGGAGGAGAGAGCTAGCTATAGCTACTAGTTGTGATGGCTCTGCTCTGCCCCCGCAATTGGAGTCAGCAATACTTCTGAAACCAAGTTGCTGGAAACCACAGGAAGGGACCGCCTCTCCTGATCTGCCCCGCAGAGGACCTTAAGGTCCATGAATAATCATAGTTTAGAGGTCCCGGGCACTAAGGAAGCCAGACTATCCTCCACCAGGGCCAGGGCCTTCTCAATGATGGCTCCGACCTGGTGGAATGCTCTGTCTCATCAGACCAGGGTCCTGCAGGATTTAACTTCCTTCCGCAGGGCCTGTAAGACAGAGCTATTCTGCCTGGTTTTCAATTTGAACTTAGCCTGATCTTTTATTTCCCTTCCTTCCCTCCCTCTCCCCTTTTTATGAAGATTACCTGCTCTGGGATCCCACAGCTAATTCTGCCCTGGTCTCCTCGCTGGCCCAAATAGGACTAATTTAGCCAGCTAGCCCTGGTGATCATCTAATGTTTATTGGATGGATTTCCCCCCTAAATTGATTTTTGAATTCTGAATGTATTGTTATTCATGTTTTATACTGTATTTTATGCTGTTTTTTGTTGCATCAATTAAGTGTTTTAAATTTGTTGTTAGCCGCCCTGAGCCTGGTTTTCTGAACCGGGAAGGGCGGGGTATAATTTTTTTAAAAAAATTAATTATTTATTATTGTGCAAATATGGTATTATTCTGTAAATGTAACAGTGAAAGTAGCTGTGTGCGCACCATTTATTAGGCGGAGATGGCGGCCCATGTGGTGTAGCAATCTCTGGCTGGGCTATCAACCGAGGATGGTTGGGCTACAAATGTGGACATATCGGTGAGGCCCATTCAGAACTAGTAGGCTGTAAGGCAATTGTGTCAGATTCTCAGTGGCATCACTAGGTCAGGATCCCAGGAGGCGGTAAGAACATGTCATGGAGGATGAAGACAAGGTGTCCCAACTTCTTCCTGGGTAGTCAAAGAAAAAGGGAGCCTCACCTTGCCTGAGACCCCCCCTGAAACATAGCACCACCTCTGCTTATTGCAACTTATGGCCACTACTCACGTTACAACTTGAAGCAAAGGATGTGTGATCTTATTTATTCCCTGCATGCGCCACACACAAAACACCACAGTCAAATGACATTAATCAGCCGAAAAACTGCTTTATTAACAGCAAATAAAGGATGGTTACCACAGTTTCCATGGTAACAATCAGGTTTAATTCCCTGAGAACATTTGTCCTTGTTATATTCCCCCCCCCTCTATTTCCCTCATTTAAAAACACACACAACATACATACACACACCCCAAACAAATTCCCAGATACTGGGACATATAAATTAAGGATAAGTGATAGTCACAAAAGATGCCCTGGCCCTCCCCATTTCATTTTTTAAAAAACAGATTTTATAAAATTATTTTTTTTCTGATCCACAGGAAAAAAATATTTAATAAAAAATCCACAATTTACAAATCTACACAAAAAGGGCACAGTAAATAACACTGTTGCAATAAGATATTTACAAACACTACCCAGTGTGGGCCAATTCTTTTTCCTTCCCATTTGGAATGGAAGCTTACAGTTCTCTGAACATGCCCAAGAATCCAGGAAGCAAACACTCCCCTGGTTTTTGCACAAGAGGTTGGATACTTGCGTACGAGAATGTGACCTCTTGTTGAGTGCTTGGGCTAGAGCAGCAGTCTCCGCATCAACAGGAGAGACAACCAGGTAAGATGTTTTTTAATCGCCCCTGGAGAAGATGCTCCAGAGGAAACGTCAGGTGGGCAAAAGATGTTGCACTGAAGGAAGAGAGAAGTCACTTGTATGGAATTCACAATCCTACCTGGGGCTAAGTCCCTATCGACAACCCCAGACTTCCTTCCAAGTAAACGTATGTAAAATTATGCTGCTAAACATTACAGTGCTTCTATAAAGCTAACTCAGTGTTTCTCTAACTTGGGGTCCCCAGCAGTTGTTGGACTACAACTCCCATCATCTCCCATCATCAACTCCCACCAGATCACTAGGGATGGTGGGAGTTGTAGTCCAACAACAGCTGGGTACCCAAGTTTGAGAAACACTGAATCCTACGCCTGTTTACTTCCAAGGAAGTCCCCACCATATTCAGTGGAGCATAAATCCTCGTACAATTGAGCTGTAGGCAAGGAAGTAGAGTTTGCCAAGAGGCTGAGTCCAGACTTTCTCCCTTCAGTGCAACCATAAAAGCTGGGAGTCCAAGGGACCAGCTCTAGAAGCAACAGTTCAGAAAACTGAGCATTATATGTATAAAATACAGAACACACTCACGCACTCATTCACTATGGAGAGGGGGGAAATTCCAAAAAAGGAGCATTTTTTAAAAATTACAAACTTTAGTTTGTAAACCTTCATCTGAAAAGTTATCCGGAGCCTAATAAGCAGGGAGGAACAATTAAAGGGGTGTTTAGGAATCAAGGATGGAGAGGGGAAAGCAGTGAAAGGTTTGAGGCAGGTGCAGAGAACCCATGGAACCCCAGATGTTGATGAACTACAACTCCCATCATCACTGGCTATGCTTGCTGACTGAGAGTTGCATTTCACCAACATCTGGAAGGCTGCAGATTCCCTGCACCTGGTTTAAGGCAACGGGTGGCTAGCCTGTGGTCCTACAGATGTTGCTAGATTCAGTTCCCCATCATCTCTGCCCATTGGCCATGTTGGCTGCTGGGCTTCTTGGTTGGGAGTTGAAGCACACCTGGGACATGGCCATAGGTTCTCTGCCACCGATTTAAGGCATACCCCAGCTCAGTGTTTGGCACTTGGGAAGCACCCAATTGATCGTTAATGGGTGAGATCTATGAAGATGCTCAGTTTTTCCCCATGAAGTCCATGGGTTTTGATTTTGTTTCTTTCCTTTAGTGCTTTAACTCTGGGCTGAATTGCACCCTGTGTTTTCGTTCATCCATTCAAACACTGCTTTTACAAATTCAGCAGCAAGGGTGGGGGTGGGGGTGGGGAACACAGCAGTAATGGTAGTTGTGGAAAAGCAAACAACTTCTTACAAGAACACTGGAAAGCAATATTCAGAAATGCCCAGGCTGCTTGTTCAGGTGGGGGTTTTCGGTCAGTTTACACCTGTACAAACAGCCAGAACCACTCACCTAAGAAATGAGGGTTGTAAGGGCAGTTCCTTCTTGCCCAGAGTAAAACCCGCTTGCCCCATCAACAGGGGCAAATAGCAGGGGGAGCCCAAAAACGTCTCAGCATCTCAGGGCCGGATGAGAGAAGAAGGGGCCGCACAGCAGCCTATAAAACACACGCACACTGTGAATTAACCACAGTAATTAAGCGCCAACAGCCTCACAGCAAAGGAAACAAACACACACGCAAATGCACAGGTCCCACGAGCTCTTCGGATACCGGGAAAACTCGGGACGAGGTTAAGAAGGGGACACCTTGTCTCTTAGTAAACTGCATTGCGAGGGCACCATGGAGTGTCCGGATACAGCATACAGTGGACGGTACGGAACCTGAGAGAGAGAGGAGAAGGGGGTATATCAGCGACATCCCAAAAATTATAATCCCCATCATCAGTGGCACAGTATTGATTAGGGCTGTAACGTTTAGCCAGGGGGTGGTTCAAGCAGGTTTAAAACCTGTTTCCTGATGAAAATCAGGGGCACCTTTCTAATTATAGAGCAATTTATCTATAGCTTTCAGATCCAGTATTTCCCCTTTAAAGAGCTTGTGGTTCTTTGTCTCTTTCCCCTGCCCTATTTTATTCCCGACGATCACCCTTTGAGGTAGGTTAGGCTAAGAGATTTGGCCGCATTCACACCCTACATTTAAGGCACTATGATACCACTTCAAGCAGCCATGGCTTCCCCCCCCAAAGAATTCTGGGAGCTGTAGTTTATCAAGGGTGCTGAGAGTTGTTAGGAGGCCCCAATCTCTTCCCAGAGCTGTTTAACAATCAATTCCTCTCCCAGAGGAACTGTAGATCTGGGAGAAGAATAGGAGCCTCCGAACAACTCTCAGCACCTTTGATAAACTACAGCTCCCAGAATTCTTTGGGGGGGGGAGCCACAGTTGCTCAAAGTGATATTCTAGTGCAGGCATAGGCAAACTCTGGCCCACCAGATGTCTGGGACTACAATTCCCATCATCCCTGACCACTGGTCCTGTTAGCTAGCGATGATGGGAATTGTAGTCCCAAACGTCTGGAGGGCCAGAGTTTGCCTATGCCTGCTCTAGTGCTTTAAAAGTGTGGTGTGAATATGGCCCGTCTCTCAGCCAAGTGGAGATGGGAAGCTCTTCCCTCACTGTCCCTTTCCCCTTGCGTGTCGTGTATATTTTCAGAATGCAAACCTGTAGATAGGGACTGTTTCAACTGATCCACATCTCTAAACAAATAACTAGTATGCACGAGGGGAGGGACACCCGCTGCTCACCTGGACGGATCCTCCTCCACAGAGAAAGCTCCCTTGATATGGATGGAGTTCCTCTTGTTTTCAAACATTCCATAGCTCAAGGTCACCTGGGCAGGGGAGAGAGAGCACACAAAGATTGACTTGATGAAATGAGGAAGGGGCTCGTATGTCGACTTGGCTGAATTAAGATCTTTCTCTCAAGACTTAAGGTTCCCGACATGTTGGGAACAAAGAAAGAATACATCTGGAAATCTTCGGAGCTTTAAACATATATAACGTAATAATAATAATAATAATTTTATTTATATCCCGCCCTCCCCAGCCGAAGCCGGGCTCAGAGCGGCTAACAACAATAAAAGTAACACAGCATTCTAAAATCAATTCAATTTAAAATCAATTCAAAATCAAATTAATGGCAACCATTGGGCTAGAGTTCTATGAGGATTACAGAAGGAGGGGGTCAGACTGTGCCTTGGCCAAAGGCCAGGCGGAACAGCTCTGTCTTGCAGGCCCTGCAGAAAGATGTCAAGTCCCGCAGGGCCCTAGTCTCTTGTGACAAAGTGTTCCACCAGACCGGGGCCACGGCCGAAAAAGCCCTGGCTCTGGTTGAAGCCAGTCTGACCTCCCTGTGGCCCAGGACCTCCAAGATGTTTTTATTTGAAGACCGTAAGGTCCTCTGTGGGACATACCAGGAGAGGCAGTCCCGCAGGTACAAGAAAGAAGATTCCACCTAAACATTAGGAAGAACTTCCTGACAGTAAGAGCTGTTCGACAGTGGAATTTGCTGCCAAGGAGTGTGGTGGAGTCTCCTTCTTTGGAGGTCTTTAAGCAGAGGCTTGACAACCATATGTCAGGAGTGCTCTGATGGTGTTTCCTGCTTGGCAGGGGGTTGGACTCAATGGCCCTCGTGGTCTCTTCCAACTCTATGATTCTATGATTCTAGGTACGAGGGTCCTAGGCTGTATATATGTTTAAAGCTCCTAAGATTTCCATGTGTCATTCATTCATTCATTCATTCATTCATTCATTCTCTCTCTCTCTCTCTCTCACACACACACACACACACACACACACACACACATTTCACAGAAGGAAAAACTGATAGGAAGCCCTTCCCCCAAATTGGCAAAAGCCTGTGCCAACCACAAAATGTAACACAGACAAAATAACAACCCCTCCAGCCCCTGCCAACCAAACAAGAGCCAAAAGAGCTTAATTAAAAAAATTAAAAATAGTAATGAGCAAGGGAGCTAGGAGGGCATCATGGGGTGTCTGAGGGTACCATGGTGCCCACAGTTGCCATGTTGGGGGTCCCAGTTTTTAGACACTGGACCCCTGTGATTTAAAGCAGCACCACTGAAAACTTCTGTTTGAGGATAATTCTGACACAGTGCAGCCACAAGTAACCAAACAATTAAACACCTATGTTGCAAACAATTGTCAGTAGTATCCAAGGCAACACGATGACCAAGTACAACCCTTTATGACCACTGCTCCATAGATATTGTTGTTATAGAATTCCATTCACCATACAGATGGGTTTATGAAGCATTTCTGTATCCTTCTGCTGTGCTGAAGAAGAATTCCATGAAACAGTGGGCATATCCAGAATCACTGTTCACTACGTCTGTTTGTGGACCACTTCGGCAGCGTTGGACGTCATAAAACAGCTTTACGGCTTGTTCTCATCAGATAAGAATCTGACCCATTGCTTCTTTCAGAGATTTGCATAGTCTACAAAGACTTTCAGAGATTTATAAGATTTCTGTTTATTTGGTTTCTCATATTGTTCAATGTTCCGTATAGACTATATAAAGAGTTTATATTGATATTGCATTGTTGTACTTGGTCGTCGTGTTGCCTTGGATATTACTGACAGTGCAGCCGCGAGCAGCACGCAAAGATGTGTGCACATGCCCTACCCACACCCAGTGCTCACAGTTCCCATGTAACATGACAACTGGAACGGGCAGGAAGGAGCGTAGATATTGTAAAGCACCGTGGCGTTGGGCGGGGGGGGGGGGAAGCCACCAGGCACACACAGATTTTTATTTTAATATGTCTCAGGCATCTTCAGGGACAGACGTATGCCTAAGCATTTCTCAGCTGGATTTTTTATTTTACTTTGCCATAGCTCCCCCCCCCCCAGAAAACAATAGCATTATTGAAACTGCCCTCAAATTATCCACACCCGGGAAGGGATACGCTGGCAAGACGAAAACACTCTAAAGGGGTACACAATCACGCTTAAGTTTGGGAAACACTGGTCTATTCTTTCTTGTTTTTTACCTGAACATGAATCTCTGTCTTGGGCACTTGGTGGAGGTTCTCTAAATGGGAATGGAAGAGATTACTTCGGATCAGCTTCACCCCCAGCACAGATTCTATGATGTAGCCGATGGTGCAGTCGTCCGGGAGGCGAATCTTTTCTGCAGTGCTCATGAAGTGTCCGCCGCTGTAGAGGATTGTGGAAGAAGCAAGACTTTGGTATGGTGGGGGACTTAACAACGGGCAAGGCTCCCTAACGAAGATAGGAGGAGAATTGCTTTCCCCCACCCCAATTTACCAAAACCTTATTTTTTTAAATATGAAAAATAACATAAAAACCCTCAATATTACATACGGCTTTTTTAAAAAAACATCTACAGGCACCTCCCTGCGCATGTATGACTGCCAATGGGCACACTGTTTTCTGGCACCACGAGGGGGCAAAGGACTTGCAGGGGAACCCAGAATTGAACCCTCACATAAGCGGGGAATTCCCCTGTACGGTCGTACCTTCGATCTCAAACGCCTTGGCTCCCAAACGATCGAAACCCGGAAGTGAGTGTCCTGGTTTTCGAACGGTTTTCGGAAGCCGAACGTCCGGCGTGGCTTCCGATTGGCTGCAGGAGCTTCCTGCAGCCAATCAGAATGCGCGCTTTGGTTTCCAAACGTTTTGGAAGTCGAACGGACTTCTGGAACGGATTCCGAGGTACGACTGTGCAACGTCTATTACACGTACAGCACTTAAGAAAATATTAGGTGCTTTATGGGTGTTAAATAGTAACAAATATAATTCTAACAACTGCAATAGAAAGGAAAGGGGTGGGCTGACCTCTTTCTTAGGTGGTCCCCCAAAAAAATATCCCCTGCCCCACCGATGTGTTTTACATTTGCAAGGTGGGAATGAGCACTCATGTTCATGACCAGCTAAGGCATAAATAGGAGTGATCTGAGAGCTCAGGGTAGCAAACACAGCACCCTCCAAATGTCAACTGCTCACCTTGCCCAAGGGCTCATCTTTAGTGCCAGCCCACGGCTGATGCAGAAACCAGCGCCCCCCGTGGCAAACCAGAAGTGGACCGGATGCTGTGTGGGGCAAGAAGAGAGACAAGAGTCAAAACCAATCCAGAAGACTGAAGAAAATACTTGTCTAGAGAAAGTGGAATGTGTTGGGTGTCATCTTGGATTTGTGGGATGTGGTAGACAAGTAGCAGTCAAGTACAACATTCCTTGTTTTCCTAGAGTGGACATGCAGGGGAATGTTTGGTCCAGTCAGTCGAAAACTTCCTTTTTCCTCCTGACTAGGACATACTGCCTTTAGCATGTGACTAGAGGTGGGCATGACCTTACCTGTCCAGGTAACAAAAGGACAAGGCACGCAGCACCCCCTCCCTCTTTGACTTCCTCTGTCATTGGACCAGCAGCTTTTTAGCTAGAGATGCTCTGTTGGCTCAGCTTTCAGCCAACAGAGGACAAAGGGACTATCTCCATATGGGACAGACCCACATGTATATGTAACTAAGTCTGCCTTCAGGGATCCAAATGTGAACTGATGATGTGAGTAAACTTCTTTTATGTACTTTACACAAGATTGTGGTGTGTTCATTCTTCTAAGAGGGATATAAGGGAACTTAGTAAAGGTAAAGGTACCCCTGACCATTAGGCCTAGTTGTGGATGACTCTGGGGTTGCACACTCATCTCGCTCTATAGGCCGAGGGAGCCGGCGTTTGTCCACAGACAGCTTCCAGGTCATGTGGCCAGCATGACTACGCCGCTTCTGGCAAACCAGAGCAGCGTATGGAAACACCATTTACCTTCCCGTCAGAGCGGTACCTATTTATCTACTTGCACTTGACGTGCTTTCGAACTGCTAGGTGGGCAGGAGCAGGGACCGAGCAACAGGAGCTCATCCTGTCAAGGGGATTCGAACCACCAACCTTCTGATCGGCAAGCCCTAGGCTCTGTGGTTTAGACCACAGCGCCGCCCGCGTCCCATAAGGGAACTTACCAGGAACCTAATAGTGAAAGGCTTAAGCCTGCAACCAGCTATCTGCTGTACGTTTAAAAAGGGGAATGCCAAACTCTGCTAAATTATAGAACTTGCTAGTGCAAGTTAGGAAGGATATTAATAAGCAATATATCCTTCTCCTGCCTCCCTGAATATTCCCACAGGATTGGATGTTTTGAATCATTTTCTATAGATACCTGAGAGTTGAAGAATCAACTGTATAAAAGTGGTATCATAGTGCTTTAAATGTATGGGGTATGCGAATATGGTCTAAGTGAAATTATTTTTCTTCAGCTCCCCTGTTCGCTTACCATCTTGTTCTCGCTAATCCTCTCTGTGGCCTGGATGGGCCGATCCAGGCTTGGTTTTCCGATGTAGATGTCTTGCGTGTGAGGATAACTGGAGAGCAGTTTGATCAGCGCTCGAACATTGACATAATTGTCATCGTCCATGTGGCAAAACCACCTGATGCATCAAACGACAACGAGAGGGGAACAGGTTAGGAGGGGGCCAAAGAAATTCAACTTTGGTTTGTCATGAGTTGACCAGGATTCCTAGCCAAAAGGCATTTTCAAATTTTAGTGCAAAACAGGAGTGTCTTGGCTTTATTTTTATTGCTGGGATTAAAAACAGTCCAAGAACGAATAATAAAAGAAAAGAACAGAAATACAGACCTTTTATTTCAGATCTGTAAGCAAATTTGGGGACACTCCTTTATCACACGCTTAAACATCAGCCTTAAGAACCAAACCGAATTATTTCCTTTTGTATGTTTACACCAGGAGTCTTAATGAATTCACGATCGATTTCAATTGCTTAATTTTCCTGGGTTGGTACCTATGAAGCTCTAACTATTTATAGGTATTTATATATACAAACAGTTTTTATCTAAACAGGAACTGGTTGTTCTGCCTATCAAGAGGCAGCTTCATGAGGCAAAAAAGTCTCTCACTGCTCAGCTGTGAAAGCATTCTGGATCCATGCTGGATTTCCCCAGGTGTAGGCCACTCAACTCCTTAAACAGGCATGGCCAAACTTGGCCCTCCATATGTTTTTGGGGACTACAACTCCCATCATCCCTAGCTAACAGGACCAGTGATCAGGGATGATGGGAACTGTAGTCCCAAAACATCTGGAGGGCCAAGTTTGGCCATGCCTGCCTTAAAAAGGACCCTTTCCTCAGCTGGTTAACAATGGCAGCCCTTATCTAAGGTTGCCGTTTTTTAAAATGCTTTTACTGGTGGTTTTAATTCTGAACATCACTTAGGACAACTAACTGGGAAAGGGACCTATTCAAGCAAAGACGTAGGAAGCTGCCTTATACAGAGCCAGCCCATTGGTTCCTCTTTCTCAGTACTGCCTGCACAGAGGAAAATTCTCATTCTCACCTGGAGATGTCAGAATTTGAACCCGGGACCTGCTGCTCTGCCCCTGAGCTATGGGCCCTTCCTGCCTAGTTGGAGATCCCCATCAGCCTGCAGAGCACACCCTCTGCATTGCCCCTCCTTACACTGGCTTAAAGAAGTTGCCTTTCCCCCTTGGCCCACTCCCTGCGCTTACTTTCTCCCAGATTCGATGAACTTGTCATATTCCACGGCCATCTTGCAGGACAGGGCTTGGCGGCTGTGGGCAGCGGAGCAATTGGTGTTGATGACGTTCCCTGAAGGAGAGAGGAGGAAGAATGAATGGAAGGACATGGCTTGCCTGACAAGTTTGTGCCTTGCTTGGAAATATAAATACATCAACAAAATGCTTCGCAAGAGCACAACCACAACCCTACTAACATATAAAGCTGTCTTCTGCTGAATCTAACCGCTGGCTCATTGCTGGCTCTGCCCTGTTACTGGATCCTTTTTAACCAGGTGTACTGGGGACTGAGGGACGCGGGTGGCACTGTGGGTTAAACCACAGAGCCTAGGACTTGTTGATCAGAAGGTAGGCAGTTCGAATCCCTGCGACGGGGTGAGCTCCCAGCTCCTGCCAACCTAGCAGTTTGAAAGCACGTCAAAGTGCAAGCAGATAAATAGGTACCGCTCCAGCGGGAAGGTAAACGGGTGTTTCCGTGCACTGCTCTGGTTCGCCAGAAGCGACTTAGTCATGCTGGCCACTTGACCCGGAAGCTGTACGCCGGCTCCCTTGGCCAATAAACCGAGATGAGCGCCGCAACCCCAGAGTCGGTCACGACTGGACCTAATGGTCAGGGTCCCTTTACCTTTTTACTGGGGACTGACCCTCAGGGTCCCCTTCCAACTCTCCAATCCATGATGCAAACATGGCCCTCCGTGTGAGAAAACCTTCTCCCCTCATACTTCCCACCCCAGCAAGTCGCTAGAAGAACCTGCAACTCGGAACTTGAGTTTGTTTATCTCCTCCTCCCTCCCCTCCACTTTCTTTTTGTGCCATGCCTTTATTTTTTTTAAAGACTAGAAGCCTGTCTTTCTCTCCCCCCCCCCTTTCCCTTTCAGTAATTTGTACATTGCTCTGGGAGCCTTTTTTCTGGCTGAAGAGCAGGATAAAAAATTCTTTGGATAAACAAATGTCAGGGAAGAAGGGATTACGGGCTGCATCTAAAGGCTGCTAGGCTGTTTCACTCCACTGAGTGTTAACTCAGAGAGGGGGAGAAAGCCTTCCATGCAAACTGGACTCTGTTGGGCTGGGGGGCTAAGGAGAGGCTCTCATCTGCCTATTCAACCAGCATTTTCCCATCAGCTGCCACCTGTTACTCTCTGGGATGTCTTGAGGGGAATCATGAATAGAGGCATTAGCATAAGAATAGACTGATCTGATCCAGTCTCCCAAGGGCAGGGGAAGGGCGGCTTAATAAATAGCTGAGTAAGTCCCCCCTCTCCCCCCCAGCAACTCCAGAGAGTTAATGAGCAGGAGGTTATCTTCCTTCACCCTCCCATGAACAGCCTCCAGATGAAGCTATATTTAAGAAGCTCCCTTCCCCATCTGCCAAAATGCATTCAACCAGCTCACCTGTCCTCTTCTTCAGTTCTTCGTCCTCACCATCCGTGAAGATAAATGTCTAAAAGAGAAAGGGAGATTTTTAAAATAATAATAATAAAAGTTTTATCTGAACCACTGTCACTTTTGAACGTCCCCAAACCTTTCTAGCTAACACTGTGCAAACAACCATGTCTCACCTTGCTGGAAATTGGTGCAACCTAATCTAATCTGCAAAAACGCCAACATGCAATTTTGCAGCAAGGTTGGATTTTATTACCTAGAAATAAAAAGATTGTTCTATCCAGTCATTGGCCCAGAGACCAAGCACTGGATTTGGATGGAATGAATGCACCCAGATTTTCTAACATCTACCCGGCTATAAAAATGCAGTTCAGGCAAGAGAAATATTTGCCTGAGCTCACTTCCCCCTTTTGTGTAGGGCGTTGGTTGCCCTGAGGTTTCAAGACAATGGCAATCAACTTTTTGGAATTTTCTTATTCTTGCCGGTGGCTTGGGGTGGAGAAAGAGAAACCATGCACTGAAAGGGGGGTAAATGATCTTATATGTAACAGAGGAGAATGCAAACACCGCACCCACCACCAGCCTCCAACAATTTTCATGAAGTGCCCTTGAGTAGATGTTTCAGTCTTGTGTCTCTCACACACAACCTATTCAGCATTGCTCCTCCAAGCACCACCTCCTGCGCCCTTCAGCCTGAGCACATTAGGACATAGGAACCACCTCTGAATCAGGCCAATGACCCATCAAGTCCATAATCCTGTACTCACAGTGGCCGACCAGATGCCTGTGCATTCTTGCCTCCTGCAGCTCTGAGCAACTGGTATCCGCAGAATCACAGAATTGTAGAGTTGGAAGGGACCACGAGGGTCAATCTAGTCCACCCCCCACAACCTTGAGATGAAGAATCTCATGTCTACTAACTGAGCTGTCCCAGAAACATTCAAAATTAATACATCTGCATACTAAGAGCATATGTTGCAATAGCACAGTCCAAGCCAGGGGTAGGCAACCTAAGGCCCGGGGGCTGGATGCGGCCCAATCGCCTTCTCAATCTGGCCCACGGACGGTCCGGGAATCAGTGCGTTTTTACATGAGTAGAATGTGTGCTTTTATTTAAAACGAATCTCTGGGTTATTTGTGAGGAATAGGAATTCGTTCATATTTTTTTTCCAAAATATAGTCTGGGCCCCCACAAGGTCTGAGGGACAGTGGACCGGCCCATAGCTGAAAAAGGTTGCTGACCCCTGGTCCAAGCCTTCCGCAAGCCTACAGAACTTTGCTGTGGTGCTTTCCTGCTCTTTTCGCACTCCAAAACTCCCACAATATCCTTCTGGCTTTGCAGAAGCGGCTTTCACGCTGTGCGAAATCTCAAGCACGGTGCGCAAATTTACAGCCGGGGCGACAGAATAAACTGCTCTGTAAATGCAACCTGGATAGGAATGTGCATTCCTTCACCCCTCAAAATGTGCTGCATTTATGAGGCCGGCAGGCTGCTCATTCTACCAAGAGGGGTCGCAGGCCCCTGCCCCCAAAGTCCTGCCCAGATGCCCCTCTCCATACTGCAAGGCTTTGCCGCACCTGCCCCCTGAGCATGATGGAGAACAAGAACCACAAAACAGCCCCCCTTCGCCTACAACTGATTCAGCTCCAACTGCCAGGTGAACCTGAGCCAAGGGAGCAGTCTCTGCCCCGCCTTCTGAGCCCTGCCACCTGCCTGGCTGCACTTCCTTATTGACACAGGTAATTCCTGGCATCTGTTGCCTGTCTGTGTGTGCTGCCTGTTGGGAGGGGCGGGGGAATCTCAAATAATTCAGAGCAACACAGAACAAAGGACAGAAAAGGGAGGGAGGGAAGGAAGAAACAGCAGCCAGATGCACCCCCCACAAAAAAATAGTTAAAAGCAAAAAGGGGGACGCACACAAAAGGAGATGGGGAGGGGGAGTACAATCTGAGCTGTCAGCCTGCGCCCAAACATCATTCACTCCAGCTTGCTTTGTGGTCTCCCCCCCCCATTGAAGAATGTAGCTGGCAGGGGGTAGGGAAGCAAGGGGCTGGTTAACAATAGATTCTTGCAGCCAACTTAATGCAAGCTGGAGGCTGAAGTGGTGTTTGCTCTCCATTAGCATACAGCTGGGCTGGTTAACAGGGCTGGGCTGAGGGAGGGGGGGAGGAGAGGCAGCATTCAAACAACTTGGTTTCATCAGGAGGGGGGGAGAGGAGGAAGAGAGCAGACACTCCCCACCCCCACCCCAGACAGGGAGACAAAGGAGGGGGGGTGTAAATGGGCCAGAGCCAGACAGAATTCAGCAGCCTGACCATTGCAACTCTCAGTTCTACAGTATTTTCTTTTAAAAGCAACATTCTAGTCCTTATGAGTACACACTCAAACAGATTTGGGGTATGGCAAGACTTGTTGGTGAAGGTAAAGGTGACTTTCAAGGAACAGATCCACATATTAGGAAGATAGGAGGATGCTTTTTTCATCCTAATAGCTTATCTACAGGAGTGGAATATATCAATTCTTGTGTGTCCCCCAGGAGTGGAATTTGGTAGTTGTAGGTACAGAATTTGCCCTCCTGTCTCAATTCTAATTATTCTTCCTTTCCTCTTTCCTTTTTAAAAAAACTAAGGTTCTGGTCCTTATTGGCTACAGGACGTAGTAATATCTCAGGAGCAGATTTTGCTGGGGTGTGTGCAATGCAGACTCTGCTTTCCCCATCAGTACCAGGTGGAGGGGGAGAAGACCCTTTGAAGCCTGGCTTGGCTCTTCTCCCCCCTCCCAAACCCCCCCCCACAGAAGCATGTGGGATGTGGCACCTGATGTCTACTGAATGTGTGGGTTAGTGGCAAAGCAGGGCTAGGCGGCAGAGGCACCATCACACCCCCCCCCCATCCTGCACATTCTTTCAACATGGGGGGGGGTTTAAAAATACACACCCCAAATGTGGAACATGGATGGGGAAAGCGGAAACAGCAGCAGGGAAGAAGAGATCAGAGATCGGCATCAGCTTGTGAGCCTGGACTGGGAACTTCATTGAAAAAACAGGGAAATGTTTACATGGTTAGATCAGGCATGTGCCGTCTCCAGCGACTGTGTCTTCGTTAGCCTGCTCCCAAAATAGCCCCTTAGCTAATCCTCGTGCTGCTATAAAAAGACCAGGAGGAGATTATTATTTTGCCATTTTTTATTTTTTTTACTGGACTGCTTCAGAACAGTTCATCCTGAACATGCCACCAGCAGCACCCAACTTGCACCCTGGGAGAGTCCAGTAGGGCAAGAGGACCCTCTGTCGAGTTCTTGCAACAGGAAGAGACCCTGCAAGGCTTTGGAAGCCAGCGCTGGAGAGTTGCCGCAGCCTCCCTGCTTGGCTCCCCCGCTGCCTGGACAGGAAGGGTACAGCCTGTCCACAACCCTCAGTGTCACCTCTGAGAACAATCTTGTCTCTGCAGGCTCCCTGCCTCCCACCCTCTCCGATCCAGCCCCTTCCTGCCGCTCAGTAGGAACCCAGCCAGGAAATTCAATTAAAATCTGAACAATTGCTCTTTCTCTCTGTCTCTCTCAATGTCACCCACTCTTTTACACGTCATTTACTTGTGTTTCTTACAGCTCAGCCATTACACACAGGCAGGTAGAATGCAGACAATCCTGAAGGCCGCAGGTAAAACTTAACCCGGCCTCCTTTGTTGTCCCGAAGATGGGGAGATGACAACATTGTGCAACTGGACTGAAATGCAAGAGGCAGCCGGCCCTGGCATGCTTACGAGAGCCAGCTAGACTTTATGAAGCAACAAATCCAGCCCAGCACTTGAACAAATATACCTGGATGATGCACATGCATTTTTAAGCATGCACTTAAAAGGACACAGGATACTGCCTGGGTTCTTGGTCCATCCATCTCAGTATTGCCAGCAGTCTTAAAGTCTTAGATATATAATAAATGTACCAACCAAGCACGTACATAGATCAGCACAGGAAGACTGACCTGAAAACATTTTTGATTCCCAAACTGACTAAATGTTTTCTCTGCAAGGTCAAAGGAAAATGGAAAAGCCTCCCCATTGTCTTTTCCTTCACAAATCCTGTCTTAAGGGTATGTCTGTCTGTGTTTGAATAGGGTGCGCCTGTGACCTGGCTCAGGAACTAAGTATTTATCATTACGAAAGACTGGCCAGGCTCCCCAGGGTATCCAATCAAGTGAGCATTAACAGGTAATCTGTCAGACGAGATAAACAACGCACTCAGATTTCTGCGGTAGACGGCCTTTTCTGTGATGTAGGTATGGTGTATCTGGGGGGGTGGTGGTCTTGGGTTACTCCCCTTCTGTGATGTATGCATGATGTATGGAGGGGTGGTCTGGAGCTCCAGGGCAGGGAATTTAAAATGTCTATATAAGGGCAGGCACACCTTTATTGTGGGTTCCTCCTCCTTTCCTGCGTGTGAGGGGAGCACCCTGTTGCAACAGATCAAGCTTACTAGCTGCTTTGCTTCTCAATATTCTCTGGTTGGCCTCTGTTATTTTCTCCTACCAATAGGGAACCCACGTAAGGACTCTATATGGGCTCTTGGATACCCCATAAGGGGAAAAGGGCAGATTTTTGTTTACAACAGGTGTCAGGCAGGGGACAGTCCCCAGAAATTGAACCGGGGACCTCCTGCTTGCAGAGCAAATGCTCTACCACTGAGCCTCCCCCACCAAATAAAAAGTTAAATTTAAGTTTCTTTAAAGCATATTTCTACCCAGCTCCCATCAATGAATCCAAGCGAAGGCCACTGAAATTAATGGGGGAATGTTAGTTATGACTTAAGTCCCATTTAAGTCAAATGCAACTGTCCCTGCTCTGGATCTGACCCAACGCGTGAGTGAGGTTTCAGGCAGCTTTTTCAGGGCCCTCCCAGCAAGGATCCCGGTGCAGATCTCCACCACCGCTGCTGCTGCTGCTGCTGCTGTTCTCCCCTCCCCATCCCAAGCGAGAGCTTTTAAAGCTTAAGAAAGAGGGTTTCTCTTTCCTCTCTGGTGCTTACTCAGTGGGCGGCATTGTCTGAGGACCCTGGCCTGGGGACACGCAGGAAACTTCATTGTTTCTGAAGGCTGCAATTTAAAGAAACACAGGATGCAAAAAAAGAAAAGAGCCCCGAGGAACAATAGCAGACACCCACCAGAAGAAAGCCCAGGACAATGTTCCTTCAGAGCCAGCCGGACTCCACTGGGGCAGCAGACCTTCAGGGAGATGCCAGGCTCCACAGACCCTGCACTCTCTTAAAGCAGCAGAAACCTTCCAGCTTTTTGTTCCTTTGCTCCAAACTCTGCTTGGAGCATTTTCCACCACCAAGCATTGTATAAAATATATAACATAAAACACGGTGGTCAATCCCTGGCCGGGTAAAGCAATGGGCCTCTCTTGGATGATTTGAGCACCCAGGCCAAAGAACTCCACCTCCGCTGCTGTCCATGCAAAAAGTTCCTCTCTGCCTGGATCTTCTCTGCAACAAGAGGGAGCAGCCCAGGAAGGGGGAAGGGCTGTGTTTGCTTGTGGGGCAACTCTTTGGGGGGCTGTGTGCCAGCTGTGGGCAAGATCTGAAGCAGAGCAATGGCTGCACCTCTTAACTTTCATGCAGCAGCCGTGCAAAAATCACAAAGGTTTCTACACTCTTTCTCACTCTCACTCTCTCTCCGTCCAGGCAAACCAGGGGCCTTAGTTCAAGGACACATTCCAACCAGGCAAAAGAATTGGGAGAGCGCGCAGAGCAGGGCCAGAAGGACGCAAAGACAACACTTCGCCCCATCTCCTATATGGTGTGCTATATCATACACCACAGTTGTATGAAGGCTGGCCTGCTGAAACGGCAGGCTATAGTCTTCATAGTGCACTGATGTGCCTGCAATGGGTGCATGGATCTGCATGAACAGGACCAGAAGCATCCACACTCCTTGCCAGTTTATTCTGGACCTGGGGGCTGCACATGCATGCACATTTTCTTGCAAATGTCACCGGCATCAAAGTGCCTTTATTTCCCCATTTAATCCAGTTTTGTCATTTCTGCAGAAAAACCAGTAAGTTAACACCCCCACCCCAAGACACCCCCCCACCAAATAGTAGATCCATACTGAAAGTGGGCAGGGAGAAGAGGATGGTATATTTCGGTGGGGGGCGACAACTTATAGATGTTGCACCCAGCTGCCCTCAATCAACTGCCGTTCAGCAGTGTCCTTTGTTAACCCCAGGACAAGGTTGGTTGTTTGATCAACCAGTCCTTTACTTATAAATAATAATTTATTATTTATACCCCACCCATCTGGCTGGGTTTCCCCAGCCACTCTGGGCAGCTCCCAACAAAGTATTAAAAACACGATAAAACATCAAACATTGAAAACTTCCCTAAACAGGGCTGCCTTCAGCTGTCTTCTAAAAGTCAGATAGTTGTTTATTTCCTTTGACAGGCGGGCATTCCACAGGGCGGGAGCCACAACCGAGAAGGCCCTCTGCCTGGTTCCCTGTAACCTCAATTCTTGCAGGGAGGGAACCGCCAGATGGCCCTCGGAGCTGGACCTCAGTGTCCGGGCAGAACAATGGGGGTGGAGACGCTCCTCCAGGGATACTTGGGGCTGCCTCAGCTGTGTCTGGCAGACAGCAGCTGCAGGACCACAGCTCCACCAGCTCTGCCACTAGGTAAGCAGGAGAATGACTTCGGCCCAGCTGAGCAATGAGAGCCTGTTTCTCTCCCTCTCCTCCTGCCCTTGTACTGGTCCCATTTCTCTTTTGGTTTGTGAATCATTTCCCCTTCCTGGCAGAGGCAAAGGCCAAGAACTGCAAGTAGAGAAAAAGTCCCGCAAGAGGACTGGCAAAGGGCACCCCTCCCCCCAGCAGGGAGCAGCGAGGCCCCAGGGAGGCGGCAGCGGATGGGTACAAGGGGGGTGGGATTTTTCCTCTTCTTGCCATTTGCGGTCACATTTCACAGCAGCCATCGAAAGTATCTACAGGAAGGTAGAACACGCACGCAAGATTTATCAAGCCATGTGACCAGCTTGCGATTGCAGAAATCTTCCCCCTCGTCGCCCACTTCTGCAGAGACAGCAATCTCAGTTTAAGGAACTGAAGCAATTTAGTGTGATGAAATTAACCCCATGACCTGCCTTTCTGCAGAACTGCATGACGCACAGTCTCTCTCGCTCACCCCATTTTGATTTCTGGAGGAGGAGAGCGTGCTCCCAGCTAGTGCCCTGGGGGCTAAAAATTGCCTGCTGTCTTTACAGTGGTACCTCGTGTTGCGTAACCTCCAGGTTGCAGAATCTTCGGGTCACGGCCGCGGCAAACCCGGAAGTGTATACGCATGTGCAGAAGCGCTCTATCGCGCCGCGTGCGTGCACAGAAGCAGCACCTCTAGTTACGGATTTTTCAGGGGGCTCATAGCACCCCAAAATGAATTAAATCCATAACCGGAGGTACCACTGTACTTTGTAGATCTGTGGTGTCTGTGCTCGAGGTCCGAGAAGAACCGGATGTGATGCTTGAAACAAATTGGAACAGGGTCTGGCAAGGGACTTGGCTCTCGGAGAATCTGTTTTGGTTTTGAAAGGACAAAACTTTCTAGACCTCATGGTTGGGAAAATACCAGCCCTAGACCCTGCTGCAGAAATTGTACTGGGTCTTTGACCTCCCGCGACCTCAGATCAAGGCACCCCCACACTAACTGCCTCAGTTGTGAACCCCACAATCACCCACACATGCCTGAAAGCAGCTTTTCCACCAGTGAAATTAGTTCCTAATAACAAAAAAGATGAAGGGGGATATGTATTCTGATTTGTGCAGTCTTGCATAGAAGAAAAGTCTGGACTTCTCCCAGAATTATTCTTTCCGAAGATTATCCCCACCTCTGCTAACACCTTTAGCACTAATCATGAGTGGGGAGAGGCTGCAGATTTAAGCCCCAAATGGCTCCAAGCAGATATTTCTACAAGAATGCCTGCACTTTTGAAATTCCCACTGGATGGGCGGACCAGTCGGGCTGGATAGTTCTAGTCCCTTTTGCAGTCTCTCTCCCGGACAGCTGGAAAAGTCCCTGGTGCCAAGAAAGGGGGGGGGGGGAGGAAGACATCAGCAGCTGGAGGAACAAAGTATTCTGCCTGGGGCATTGTTTACTGAAAAGACAGAACTCGAACCCAGCCCTTGTGTACAAAACAGGCTGACGCAGACAACCGTTTTGGAGCAGCCCATTATCTCTTTGCAAAAGGCAAAACCCTTTTGCAACCCCTCTCAGGCCCTTGGAGGGGGGACAGGACTCAGGATTTGATCTTGAGCCATGGGGCTGCAAGGCATTGCTAAAGAGACACAGGTGCCCCTGATCCTTGCCTCCCTCCCTCTCTTCCTGCTCCTCTGCTCTTGAGAAGCTGGAAGACCCTCTAATTTTAAGTGCTATTATGTTTAATAAGCCCCCACCCCCAATGCAGGACAATGAAGGGCCTTGTGCAATTAGATGCCCACACATCTCTCTCTCTCTCTCTCTCTCTCTCTCTCTCTCTCTCTCACACACACACACACACACACACACACACACACACACCGACCGCACTCCACAGATTCCTCTCCAGGACTTTGCTTTCAAGAGCTATTATGGAGCCCTGAATGGAAATGCCACATCGCCTAGGGCAGCCGATTAGCAGCACTGACACTATGCACAGATCAAACCCTCCCCCCCCCCCAATAGGGTGCTGGCAAAGCATGAAGGCAATGGGAGAACTGGGCCAGGAAGCCAGCCTGGAAGGGGAGGCTGTGGCAAGCCAACCGTGCTGAACAAACTGCATCTCAGCAGTCCAGCACCTGCTCTGCACACGCAAGACATCCTGGGTTCAATATCAAGGCAGGGACTTCCTGAAACCCTGGAGTGCTGCTGCCAGCCAGTGTAGGCAACCTTTAGCTGCAGATGGACCAGTGGGAATGTGACGAGTAGTCATAGGTAGCCTTTTCTTTCCCATGGATGTGTCTAAACGAAATATTTTATTGAAGTAAATCCGACCAATTAATACAATAGAAATACTACAGCTACAAAAAAGCGGTGCAGTATACCTGTGAAAGTCTTAATATTTGGTCGGCAAAGGACTTGAGACCATTGGGAAAGCCAAATTTTTACATTTTGTCATGGGGAGGGAGTCCTATGTGTCTATTTGCTGCATGTAAAATTAAATCCCAGAATTATTTTTTTCCAGGTCCTCCAAGCTTTGGGTAACATGTCATTTATGAGTTGTTGTTTTTTCAGCTAATGCTAAACTCCGCATATTTTCACAACAAAGCAAAAGTCGCAAATCCAGGAAGGTTTTCCATTTGGGGGCAACTGAGGTTCTGGCAGCTGCCAGCATCCATGTCAACAGTTCCTGAGGGCTCAAACCTTTCAGCTGATCATCCCTCATAGACTTACTAAACAAATCCATTTGCCATGGGTGCTCTAGTTGAGATTTCTGCATCGCAGGGGGTGCCTCCCAACGCTACAGTTCTATGAAGCTGGACTGGGATGCTTGATCATTTTGCTCATTTGGTGACAAACTATAGTCCAGAATTTGAATACTGGTGGGCAGTTCCACCACAGGTGGAAAAAGGATTCCATAGGGTTAACTCTGCACTGTGCAAAGGAGCCCTTCCCTTGGCCTGCCCAGATCTCCTATCTCTATCTCTCCCCCCCCCCTTTTAAGCAGGCTTGGTGCTGTGCTAAAGGGAGGTGCAATCTATGCAAAGTCTCCATTATCCTGGAATGAGGGTGGGGGCGCAGCTCTGGGAATCTCCCACTCCTAAATTTAGCTGGAATCGCTGGCACTCAGCAGCCCCCACCCCCAGACCTAGGACCATAGGGAGACAGGACCTAGGCTCCCACTGAAAAGTCCTTCCCACTCTGCCCCAGCAAAGTGGCCAGAACTGGTTGGGAGCACCGGGTCACACCTGTGTTTGGAGTGTAAACAGTAAACACAGCCCTGTTTCTTCTGTACACAGAAGCGCACCGGGCTTTGTGGGGCATGTGCGGAGCGCATGGCACGCACCCTAGCTAGCTATTAACCCCCAGGGCAGGGACTCCAGCCAAGGCGCTATGAAAATTTGGGAGCCGCAGCTGCTTAGGAATGCGCTGTCCCGAAGGCAAATGCATGCCTTGCGGAGAGAGGAAAGTCAGGGGAGGGCAAGGCAATTATTTAACCGTTCTGCAAAAGAGAACATGGAGCAGGTCAGTCATGATGGGCGGGTGTGCGCGCGCGCACACACGTGTGTGTATATACACTTGTATTCCATCACGTGTCTGTATGAGCATAGGATGTGGGACTGAATAACTTCAATGCACACAAAAGCAAAATCTCAAGCTCTCATGGCTTCCAAAGGCTGCTCTTGCACCACTCTCTGTTGTGACCACACTGACTGGCAGCCAGGGTTTCGGGCAGGGGATATTCCCAACCCTATAGGAGATGCCAGGGATTTCCTGCATGCAAATCAGATGATCTACCCCTAAGCTATGGGCCCTTCTTTATAGGCTGCCTTATGCTGGATCAGACAGCTGGTGCATCTATAGTGCAGCATTGCCCACACTGACTGGCAGCAGCTCCCTAGGATTTCAGGTGGGGAGTCTTCCGCAGCCCTAGATGCTAGAGATTGAACCATGCAAAGCAGCTGGTTTTTTCTGCTGAGCTACAGTTAAAGTGATCATTTTAGGACTAAGGAGCGCAAATGTGCTTTGGGGGTGGCAGCAGGGATCCCCTGCAGGCCTGACTCTTGGCAGCTTATTTTAAAGAAGATGAAGCAGCAAAGCATGGCAACCAGGGAGAAGCTAGTCCAAAAAAATTGCTGCTTAAAGATCGAACAATACCCCATTCCGGCGACCAAGTCTTATGCCAGGAGGGCTGGTCATCCCAGGGCTGCGCCAGCTTTGTTTCCACACCACTGGACCAGGGGCAGCCCTAGATCCGCAGCTGGCGCTGCCTGCAAATGGCAGAAAACCCAGACCACCCGCTTTCCTCAGCGCTGAGGTCTCTCTTCTTCGGCTCTGCACACTAAGACGATTTCTTGTGTGATCCTGTTAAGGCAAATCCCTCGACTCAGCAGGAATTTGCTAAGTTTGGATTAGCTTGCATCTGTATTCATCTCCTTCCCTTCCCCCAACTGCTCCCTGGCATTGCAGTCCTCTCCCCTCTCCTCTGGCTTCCAGAGTATTTCCACACTGAATAGGCCACAATTCTTAAGAAACCACTTCCAAAAAAACAACAGCAGCCCAAAACCACGGACTGGACTCTCCCCTCGGGGCTAGATCATCGGAAGAGCTTCTGCCAGAGTTGGATTACAGTGAGATGCAAAAGAGAAGCTAGGAAGGGGAGAAAATGCGAGTCCTCATTGCCAGCTTTTCGCCATCCTGGCACCCTCCAGATGTTCTGGACTATGATTGCCATCAGCCCCAGCCGGCATCGATGGACACACTGCTGACCAGTGTTCCCCAAACTTGGTTTTCCAGCTGCTTTTGGACTACAATTCCCATCATCCCTGGCCACTGGTCTTGCTAGGTAGTGATGATGGGAGTTGTAGTCCAAAAACAGCTGGGGACCCAAGTGGGAACGCTGGTGTAGGCCAAAACATCACAAGGCTCACAATGGTAAAGTTGGAAATGATGGCTGGTGTGTGTTGCAGAAATGGGAGTTAAGTAGTCCAGCTGTTGGAAGTTTGGGTGCAACTCACCTTAGAGCATATGATTTTTCTCATGGGTTTAAACCAGGGGTCAGCAAACTTTTTCAGCAGGGGGCTGGTCCACTGTCCCCCACACCTTGTGGGGGACCAGACTATATTTTTTGGGGAAAAATGAATTCCTATGACCCACAAGTAACCCAGAGATGCATTTTAAATAAAAGGACACATTCTACTCATGTAAAAACACACTGATTCCTGGACCGTTTGCGGGCCAGATTTAGAAGGCAATTGGGCCGGATCCAGCCTTCGTTTGCCTACCCATGGTTTACACCGATGGGGTGAGGGACAGATATCTTTAACCTCTTGAAACGAACCCTCTCACTCCCTCTCTCATATGAGACCGATATTCTCGGGTTGCATCCTGCTCACAACTTCCTCCTCCTCACATTTCTCAGTCTTCAGAGAGCAAAGGAGCAGGCATGGCTGTCTTGTTCTTCTCTAGACCAGGTGGTGAGACTAGAACCACAAACTCTTTTCTCCAAGTTATAAATTTCCTACAATGGACAACTTTATTGCTTCCTTACCTGCGAGCATCTCTGAGTGTGTGTTTGCCATAAGCAGAGTCTGCTCTTTAACAAAGCTTCACTCATTTAAGGGCTGCTCACTCTTGAAAAGGTTGCAATAGGTAACCGATTCGGCTATCCCATTACTAGAAGTGCAAGACCTTCGTTTAGAGGCAGAGCAGGAAACTGATAGGTGCGGGGTCAGAAAGTTGCTTTGTGCACAAAACAAGGGGCAGGATCCAATTGCACAGTGTGTTAACCGCTAGTCCCTGTACATGCATTGTGTCAAATGCAACCGCCTCCATGCTATACAGTGGTACCTTGGGTTACATACGCTTCAGGTTACATACGCTTCAGGTTACAGACTCCGCTAACCCAGAAATAGTGCTTCAGGTTAAGAACTTTGCTTCAGGATGAGAACAGAAATCGTGCCCCGGGGGCGTGGCAGCAGCAGGAGGCCCCATTAGCTAAAGTGGTGCTTCAGGTTAATAACAGTTTCAGGTTAAGAACGGCCCTCCGGAACGAATTAAGTACTTAATCTGAGGTACCACTGTACATAAAATAATTCTTTGTGTGTTCTCATCTGAAACAAAGTTATTCTAACTGTGGCCGTCAACCACTGGCGGTGCCTGCTGAGAGTTGCTAGAAACATCACCAAGCCCTCAAGTTATTAGCAGCTTTGGTGTCTGGGAGGGTATTTCCGTAAGCAGTTTACGTGGCAGCAAACCCCGGCAGGGTGGTGGTAAAAGGGGAACCATACACAGTCAGAGCTGCTTTACTGGAACTAAACAGTTGCCCTCTGGCTATATATATGGACGGCTGTTGCAAGACACTGTGGGGAAGTACAGTATGCCCTCAACTGATGTGGGGGTTACGTTCTGGGGGTCGCGCCTAAAGCCCAAATTGTATATATTCAAAACAGATTGGGTGCAATGGTGGGTGTGTTTGCCAAAGCCTTTTCCCCGGCTGCCCCCCCCTTTTATTTATTGTCTAGTGCATAAAGCTAAACATAAGTTACAAGCTTACTGCAAAGCCCTCCACCATCTCCTGGTCATAAGAACATAAAAAGAGACTGCACAACAGTCTTTTCTACTGTTAACTGAAATTACCTTTAAGTGTTTTAAATTGGTTTTAACTGTTTTTATCTAAAATTTTCATATTTCTTGTAAACCATCGTGGTTTTATAACAATCAAGCAGTATATAAATTTCATCAAATACAGTGGTACCTCGAGTTAAGTACTTAATTCGTTCTGGAGGTCCGTTCTTAACCTGGAACTGTTCTTAACCTGAAGCACCGCTTTAGCTAATGGGGCCTCCTGCTGCCGCCACACAATTTCTGTTCTCATCCTGAAGCAAAGTTCTTAACCCGAGGTACTATTTCTGGGTTAGCGGAGTCTGTAACCTGAAGCGTATGTAACCCGAGATACCACTGTAAATACAAATGCACTGAGCATCTGCAGGAAATAGCTACTGGTATTTGGCCAAAGTAGGACCCTCTTGTGAAGCTCTCACTGCCTAGTCACCCAGAGGAGATTCTTACTCACCATGCAGGCGATCAGGCTAGTCACCACTTACAAGCCTGAAACAAAGTTCATTGTGTTACTCTTTTTCCCCCTCACAACAGGACCAAGGTCACAAAGCTCACTTGCCCAGGCCTGCTCAGGGATGGTGACAACCAACAGGGGACCAAGAGGTCATTCTCCTGACCTACCTATGTGTGTGCAATTAAAAAAAGACCATGTGAACCAGCATCCCCAAAAGGATGGTTTAGGAAGCCCTTCTCATGATTTGAGGAATTAACTGGTTCTTAGGAATGCCAGGTCAAATGGAGAGAGGACTCATTTGCCAAATTACACATTTTGCTCATTCTGCATGAATAGGGTAAGTCTACAGCACTCGGCTCGTTTGTGGGTTCTGAAGCATAGCTAAGACCTGAACATACTGCCTACTCTTTGCATTCAAACTACAGGAAGGAAGGATGTTCGGTTTTAGATCTTAACATCTCACAACCACTTTTGCAAACAGCCTGAATGCAGCTAAAAGAGGAAGGATAAGCTTTAGGGAGATGTTTAATAAATGGCAGGTTGATGGGGGAGGGGCAGCAAGACCTCGTGCTTTAGATAAACCCCTTAAGGCAGACTCCCCCACCTTCTGCTTCCAGTGTGCAGACTTGGAAAACAAACATTCAGCTTTTCCCTCAAACATTTGCAAACGGCTTTTTTCCACATGTTGAGCTCTCCTTTCTTTTCGGTCTCGACTCCAAAATAGCTCCCTATGATCTACGCACCAGTCATTTCCCTTTACACACAAACACAAGGAAAGGGCAGGTAGGCACATCAGAACTGGAACACACGGCAATAGTTTGAAAACAAGACAGTGTAGGAACTTCAGTGAAGTTGACACGATTCCCCTCCCCCCCCCCGGCCGGCTGGTTGGCTTCGCTAAAGAGGAGGCAATGCGGAAAGGGCCATGCCAGGATGCCACCCAACGCACCATGGTAGGGCAGTGTGCCAGTGTAGCTGAAGAACAGTATAAGTTCTTCAGGGGGAAAGCTGTTTTATTGACACAATCTTCATGGAGACATTTCCCTGTGAAGAAAGGTAGCAGCGCTTGGAACTCTTTTGTTCAAAGAAACGGCAAGCAAGAAGCAACATGGGTGGTCGGAGTTTATAGATATACACAGGGCAAGGAGGAAGTGGACAGAGAAAAGCTTCTCTCGAACTCCAAATCATGGGCATCCATTGAAACTGAAAGCTGGAAGATCCAGGATGAGAGAGATTCTCTCTTCATGCCTAGTTAAACTGTGGAACTCACTCCCACAGGCTATGCCACAACAGCAGCAAGAATACTTATTGCAAAGTATTGGAAGACACAAGATCTACCCACTCTGGAAGAATGGCAGATGAAGGTGATAGACTATATGGAACTGGCGGAAATGACTGGCAGAATCCGAGACCAGGGAGAAGAGTTGGTGGAGGAAGATTGGAAGAAATTTTAAGACTATTTACAGAAACATTGTAAAATTAATGAATGTTAGAATGATGTTGGAATGAATCTAGGTGATTTTAGCAAAAATGTATCAAAGATTTAAGAAAAATAGACTGTCAATTGGTGAAAAGAGGGAAAGTAAACTTATATCAAGATTAAGATAAATTTTCAGAATAAAAATTCTGAAGAGAGGGAAAGGATTTGCTGAAATGGATAATTGACTTAGAATACAAAAAAGGGAGGTGTGAGGTGGTCAGGGAAACAAGCAAATGAAAGATAAGTTATGGGAAGGTTCGATTTGTGTGTTTTTTTCTTTTGTTTTTAATTGTTTCTATCTTTCTGTTTTTTATTGTGATGTGTTGGTTTTGTTATTGTTTAATTTGGTGTTTGTACTTTTGCCTTTTTGTAAACTTAAAACTTTAATAAATACTATTTTTTTTAAAAAAGGAACTCACTCCCACAGGAAGCAACGAAGGGTCACCAAATTGGATGACTTTAGAAGAGGATTGCGCAAACTCAAGAGGGAGAAGGCTATCAATGGCTCTGCCCTCTCCCAACGGTAAATCTTAACCCTCATCTCACGCAGAAAGGGAGCTTCCCTTTCTTCCTTCACCCTGGGAGATCCTTCCTTCCCTGCCTCTCACAGGGGGCCTTTTGCCAGCCATTCCTTCCATGTTCTGAAGTAGATCTTCACTCACCCCATCATCCCTGGAGGGAAAGGGGCTGCCATTCTGTGGTTCGCCTCAGATACCCAAATGTCTTGGGCTGCCGTGCTCTGCCTCCATGGTGAGAAGCTGTGATGCTTCTGCATCCAAGTTGCTGGAAGTCACAGGAGACGAGAGTTGCGCTTGTGCTCAGGTCTGGCTTGCTGGTGTCCCACCGGCATCTAGTTGGCCACTGTGAGAACCGGATGCTGGGCTTGATGGACCTTCTTCTTATGCTCTTATGATGGCAGAGTTGACTTTTGAAGCAGAACATGTGTACAATGGCAAGGTACATGAACTGAAGCATGTCTTGAGTCCAGGGGAGACATCCCTCATCATTACAGAACATGAAAAGGGATTCCACCCACATGTCAATGGCAAGATGCAATTGTGGCAATTCCAAAGGAATTCCCCGCTCTGCTTGCAGCCTGTAAAAGTCTCCATGCCAGAGAGAAGCTGTGCGAATACGGACCAGAGAAGACAAGGAGGAGGAAATGGTGTCTAGAGAAGAGAGGTCCCACGGCTACAGTCAACTCAATTCCCACCCTGAGAAAGAGGGTACATCATGATTAGCAAGAGATCAACTGTTAAAAGGTTGTAGGAAGAGCTTGGCTGCTGGATCCAGCCAAAGGCCCACATAGCCCTGCTTTCTGTTCTCCCGGGGGGCCAACCAGGTGCCTCTTGGAAGCCCACAAGTGAGACCTGAGCACAATGTCTCCCCACCTGAGATTTCCCGCAACTGGCATTCAGCCTCAGACAGACGAGGCAGGATGCAATCATGGCCAATGGCCACTGATTATCCTTCATGAATTGCTCTAATACTCTTTTCCAAAGTCATCCATGTGGGCGATCATCCCTACATGTGGTGTTGGCAGATTCCATAGCCACCTCATGAGAAGAGAAGACTTCCTGGAAAAGACCCTGACATTGGGAAAGATGGAGGGCACAAGGAGAAGGGGACGACAGAGGACGAGATGGTTGGACAGTGTTCTCGAAGCTACCAGCATGAGTTTGACCAAACTGCAGGAGGCAGTGGAAGACAGGAGTGCCTGGCATGCTCTGGTCCATGGGGTCACGAAGAGTCGGACACAACTAAACAACAACAACAACAAAATAGCATTCTGTGAAGAAGAACGTCCTTTGGTCTGTGCTGAATCTCCCAGTGTTCAGGTTGTCCTCCAATGCAGAGAAAAGCTTCTCCCGATCCACTTCCACCACAACACGCCTCATTCTACGTACCTCTGCCACCATCCTCCCTTATTCACCTCATTTCCCCCCAGCAACCAGGAAGCCCAAAATGTTGTAACCCTTCCCCCCAGCGGAGTTTGCTCCCCAACCTGATTCATTTGGCTTTCCCTTTTCTGAACCTCTTCCAGGAAAGAGGAGGAAGAAGAGTCTGTGAGCCTGGCTTGTCTGATCCAGTTCACAATGTGACATGCTCAAGTTTTAGATATATCCACAAAGGACCATCACCTGCTACTGTTGCAGCACATCAGCACTGATACGGAAGTGTGGGAGCCCCGATCCACTTAAAAACAGAACACATATTGGGGGCGCGGAGAGAAAAGACTGTTGCAAACTCAGGTTACCTCCGAGCAAAGAGTCAGCTCCTATCAAAGCTATAAATCAGTGGAGCTTACAGGCTAGTTTTAACTAAGACTTTATCCCAGAGAATGCCGGGCATTTTGGCAAGGCAGCCAGCTGATCGTTCCATTAGAGGTCCCTAGCTCTGGTCCCCCCCCCCACACACTGCACAAAGCTACGGTGCCAATCACCCCTAAACTAGTCTAAGTCTGCGCTGTAGCAAGGCCAAGATTTGCTGACCCTTCACAGCCCAGCGCCATCCATCAAAGGAGTTCCTTTGAACAAAGCTTTGGCTTACAGCACTTTCCTCATCCTGGTGCCCTTCAGATATTTTGGATATTTTGGTCATGCTGCCTGGGGCTAATGGGAGCTGTAGCCTCAAAAATAATCTGGAGGGTGGGCAAGGAGAGTTTACAGTCTTCCCCAGAGGCCACTGCATTATGCAAAACTTTCAGGATTCCGAAGGTCAGTCTTTGAACCTGAGAATGCAAATCTGCACGGAGAGGTTGGGAGATCTCACCAATTCTCCTCCCTCTCTGCTGTGATGCAAGACGGGCTTTGGGAAATTCAGTTTGCCTACACCTCAAGCACTGGAGGAGAGAGGTGTCACTCAGACACCCAGGACAAGAAGAGGCAATCTGGATTTTTGCCCCACTTCCCCCTGACACCCCCCACCCCACAACATCTCTAGGCAACCTGACCTGGCCACTGTGAGCTCCTCCGCTCCGTTCCCACGGAAAAGCACCACACAAGCGGCTGCAGAGTCTTTCTGCCGAGTCTTTTCTCAGCCCCCGGGAGAAAAGGGGCTTTGTTAGCTTGCCTGGGGAGACAGCGTGAGAGCAGAGCCGCTAGGCTCTGGGAAGGCCGAGAGGACAAACAAGGCGGAACAAAAAACCCAGAAGAAAGACGGAATCCGTGAAGGGGGGAAAGGGGCCAGCCTTTCCCAGGATTGTCGGTAGGTGTTGGGGGCATCGCCCACCTCTGGGCTCCCACACATGTGTAGCGGCTAGAGATCCACGCTGGACCGTCTCTGCTGTGTGGCCAAGACGCAAAGTGACCATGAGAAATGGCCCATGAGAGAGATGGAAGGATGCTCTAAAGACCCGGGTACCCAGTAGCAAGGCACTGCTGCCACAGGCTAAGGGAGTTATCACTAGGGATGCTTGAACCACTAGGGATGTTTTACTCGTTCCTCAGTTTGAAGCAAACAGACCCAATTCCTACTCCCTGCGCAAGGGCATAAGGAGAGCCCTGCCAGATCAAATGCCCATCAAGGCCAGCATCCTGCTCTCTCAGTAGCTAATCAGGTGCCTGTGGGAAATCAGAAAGAAGGAGCAACAGCTCTCTGCTTCCGCTCACCTGGGATTCCCAGCCTCCAACAGCAGAGGGAGATCATAGATACTGTGGATTGTGGTCAATGATAGCTGCCTTCTCCACGGTAATACGTGGAGCAGAAAGCAGTTGTCCTTTGGCTTTTGCACTCCTCTGAGTTCGGGGGAAACTGTAAAACTGGGGATTTACAAAGGGACTGCCTCCATGTCTCTTTTGCACCAGGTTTCTTAAAAAAAAAAAAAAGGGTAGCAGTAAGATTTTTCTGGAGTTGTGGCAGACATGAGCAAGCTACCAAGTAGTTGCACACTTCAGGCTCCCAGGCTATCATTTGTATAGATGCAACTTCAGGCACTAATTTGATCCACAGGACTAAAGTGGATCAAACCAGTGCTAAAATTCACCATCAGCAATGGTCATTCTCTCTGTCCTGCCTTAGTTTCTCCACCTGTGTACAGTGGAAAAAAGAACCCGCATTTGGAGAATTAAAATGGTTGTATAAATAATATTTTTTGAGAGTCGCTAGCACTTTAATGCTAATTTTTTAAGCCACAAAACTTCCCAATTCTTCATCTCCGATTGTTTTGGGGGCATCCTGGAATTCCAGTCACAGTTTAGGAAAGGGGGGCAACTTGGTGACTGAAGACATCCCCCTCTTGGCTCTAAAACAAGCCTGAGAATTCTTTTTCCCCTCCCTCCCCTTTTTCTTTATGCAAATGAGCCTGGTCTTAAGTCTCTACTTTACATCTGACAAAGCCCAGTCCAGCGACACAAATTGCATTTCATGCTCCTCAGTCTCCAATCTTCCTGAGAGAGAGAACACAGAGAAGAGAAAGAGGGAGGGGAAGATTTGGGGAGGAGGGAATAAACAGGCACCCGGAGCCTGAGAAGAGGGAATCATTAAAGCCATCAGTTTGTTAGGGAGCAGATTTAAATAATGAAGCAGCTCTCCTGGCAGTCACACCAAGGGGGAACCTTTGCAAAGATGCTATATAGGACAGGCTTTGCCAACCTGGCCTTTTCCAGATGTTTTGGCTGAGTGATGCTGATGGGAGCTGTGGTCCAAAACATCTGGACACGTTGCAAAGCCTGCACTAAGGGGAACGAGGCCAGCTCCACATAACCTAACAGTCACAGGAATGCTCAGCTACACAAGCCAATGTGTTTAATAGTAATAATAATAATAGTAATAATAATAATAATCCCTCTACTCTCCACCTTGTAAGCTGGTCTGACACCAGATTCAAACAGTTAACCATCCCCCTTAGAATTGCCATTTCAGGCTGAGAAGCCTTGTTTTCAGAGTGCCTTAAGCCTTTTGACAGACAGTCCCCTAGAATTCTGTCAATCAAGCCTGAAAGTGGTTTTTAAAATGTAGCAGAAACCAGGGCTGATCCACCCATGAGACAATTTAGGTGACCACCTCAGGTGGCAGGATCCACAGGGACAGCAGATCCTGATGTAGATCTTCCCTCACCCCTTCTCTGGTGGGGAGGGGGGAGAAACCAGTTTGGGGGTCCACCTCAGGTGCCAAAATGTCTTGGACTGGCCCTGGCAGAGACACACACTGTCTCTGAAGTGCTATTATCACATCTGGTCTGTACTGGGACAGGGGCCACTTCGATCTGCTGCAGAACTTAATTCCTAGCAAAGCAGTTTAAGGGCAGCATTCACAGCCACAGTGGCAAGAACCGCATAAGACTCAGGTGGGGCAACTCCATGCACATTTGCTTGCAGTGGTGCGGTGCAATGCTTTCTTGCCGGGAGAACAGACAGGCATGCAAGGTTTTGAATAGAAACCTCTTCTAGTCAAAACCTTGAATGCCTGTCTGCCTTAACAGGTATCCAATATGGGTATTTGGGTGCGCACACTTCCCCTTGACCAACTCTGTAGAAATTGCCTAGAGCAAACTAGACTCCAGAGGGAGAACAAGGCATCTCTCACCCCATCCGACACCCTTTTCAATTTATCACAGAATCTCAACTGATAACATTATGTTGCCCCGTTGCCTCCATTTGCAGGGGGGAAATGCATTTAGAGTAACTGACAGGGCATCCACACTCTGAAAAGGGTTAGGTTGGGGAGGAAGGGACCGCTTGAGCATGTGCAGAGTGCCTTTCTCTCACCATTGAGTCAACCACAGAGCAGTTCTGCCCATTTCAGAGTAGGGATTGCATTTCAAGCTTCAGATACACACCTCTCTTTTTAAGCAAGCACTATTGCCCTGCTGCAACGCGTGGAAACAATGAAAGCCACAAAAGGAAAACCTGTATGTGTGCGCACTCAAGCAAGCGAAATAAGCCTCCCTTGACGGAAACCATTTATAGGAGGGGAGCAAAAGAGGGAGGGAGGGAGGGAGGCTGGCTGGCTGTGTGGGCTTGTGGCAGAGGAGCGTGCCTCACTTTCCCTCCCTGGGGGGCAAGGGCGGAGACGGCACAGATCAAGGCGCTGGGCTTGCAGTTACTCGCCAGCCCGCATCCTTCCTGCTCATTAGCACGCCGTTGGCACGGGCTGGCACCGTGCAGCAGCCGCCCACTCGCTGCAGGCAACCCGCGCTTTCTGGATGGGTGCTAGCGATCCGAGGGGCCTCTGCGCGCGCGGAAGCGGGTTTCCCGGGGCTTCCTTGCCGCCGCCACAAACTCGTTTCCAGGTCAAGGCTCAGCCTGGAAGATACGCTGCCCGGGAACACAGCACCCCCAAAAGAGGGAGTTTCCACAGCACAACCCCTCAACCCATTTCCCGTCCCGTCCCCTCAGCTTTGGCACCGCCAGCAATGCTCGAAGCCGAGTGTACCCTTGAGCATGCACAGAGTGCATTCATCCAACACCACCACAAGTCTTCCAGCAACAGTGCATCGGGTTTTTGTTTTGTTGGCAGTCATCTTATTTAAAAATAAATGCACAGCATCCATCCCATAACTGGGAGGTGGGAAAAGACCCGCACCAGCGGCCCCATCTCCTTACCATGTCCTTGTTGCGCGAGATCCACGTATCCAGCAGCAGCTCCAGCCTCGACTTGTGGAACTTCTTGGTGGTCTTGACGGCGATGAAGACATCCTGGGGCGAAATGTCCTCCAGCTGCGGCCTGGCCGCCCTCCCTTCCTCCGGGCCGCCCCCCACCGCCGAGGCCGCCTCCGCCTTCCCCCGGGCCAGCTTGGAGAAGTACGCGCTGAAGCTCCGCACATCGTTGTGGCTCTGCCCCGAGGGCAATGCAGTTCGCAAGCCCGCCGCGTCGCCGCGGGAGCCCTCGAAGGGCTGCAGGAGGAGGCCGGCGCCGCCGCCCCCCAGGCTCAGCACCTGCCCCTTCTGCTGGTCCACCACCAGCACCAGGAAGCAGGTCAGCATGGAGCCCACCAGGGACAGCAGAAGCTTCTTCCCGCAGCTTTTCAGCATCGCGGATTTCGGAGGTTTTGCAGTTTTAAGTGCAATTTTTTTGGGGGGGAACAACCGCTGCCCAGGTGCGCGCGAGGCACAACAGCCCTGCAAAGGCTTCCCCTGCTTTGCTCCAGCAGTAACAGCAGCACCAGCCACCCCGCCCCGAGTCTCCCCTTCCTCCCAGCGCGCCAAGCTCAGCGCCGATCGCTTCGCTGCAGCGACTCAGCCGCGATTTAAAAACTCCTCTCTCCGCGGCCCCGCCCCTTTGCTCTGAGTGGCTGGCTTAGGCCGCGCCCACCGAGGGAGGGGGCGGGCTCAGAACGTTGCAACATTGCGGGACGCGGGGCCCCCGGGCTGTAAAGTAGCGGCGGGTCTCCCACGTGGCTGAGCTTGGAAAAGCGGGGCGGGGAGGACGGAGGCTATTAAAGTGAGGGAGGGTCTCCCTGGTCGTAAAGCTCGCTTGCAACAAGGCAAAGCGACGCGGTGGGATTTTATGCGGAAGGGGACCAGCCCACGCTTGGAGATAAAGCGTGCTTTTTAAAAAAAGTGTTGGAAAGGCATTCTTCCTCGCTCCTGCCATTCGCAGAACAGCCACTAGAATAATTTTTTTTTGTTTTGTCTGCTTTGAAACAGGGAAAACAGATACACACGCACACCCTGCAAGCTAAAAGCCCGTTCTCTGTGCTGGACTCGGTGGAGAGCGGTTCTCTGAGCATGTGTAAAATGTGCTTCCTTTGGCAGCACATACACTAAAATTGGAAGGACACAGAGAAGATTAGCTTGGTCTGAAGGCAGCCCTGTATCAGGAAGTTGTTAATGTTTGACGTTTTACTTTGCTTTTATATGTACTGTAAGCCCATAGCTGTCAACCTTCCCTTTTTTTGCAGGAAATTCCCTTATTCCAGCACCTCTTCCCACTGCTATCCTGGATTGTTAGATATCCCATAGACTGTCCCCGGGACAGGTGAGGCTGCTGATCCCTTATTTTCAAATCTGAAAGTTGACAGCTATGTGTAAGCCACCCGGAGTGGCTGGGGAAACCCAGCCAGATGTGCAGTGTATTATTATTATTATTGTGCCCTTTTGGATAGCTGTTGCAAATGGTGTGACTGCGTGTTAAGGGTCAGGCGCTTTGGGGGGAAAGGAGGCCTCAATTTCCTTGCCCAAAAAGTCCTTCTGGGGAGGTGAGGAAGAGGCAGTCCAGAAGTTCTGAAGCTCAGCAGGTTGGAAAACATCCCTCTGGAAAGAGTAGTAGGCCATACTCTGGGGCTAGAGGATCAGATTGTGGCTGGATGATGGTCACCATGGATGGCTGCATGGTTTTCTCCGCCTTCATTTTATTCCCGCTCCATGACCCTGCGAGGTAAATTCGTCTGGGAGATGTGACTGGTGTAAGTCACCCAGTGAGTTTCACAGCGGAGTGAGGGTTCAGCATAAGAGGCAAACAAGGTGTGATTAGGTCACCCAAGGAGGTCTTTCCAAGGCTGCCAACAGGATTTCCTGGGCGTCAGACGCTGTATGTGGATTAGGGCCCCTGCACTCCCCATCCCACTCTATTGAGAATAACTGCTGCTTCTGTACATGCATCTTAAGAAGCAGAGACATCACCTTCCCGACAAAGGTCCATATAGTTAAAGCTATGGTTTTCCCAGTTGTGATGTATGGAAGTGAAAGCTGGACCACAAAGAAGGCTGATCGCCGAAGAATTGATGCTTTTGAATTCTGGTGCTGGAGGAGACTCTTGAGAGTCCCATGGACTGCAAGAAGATCAACCCTATCCATTCTAAAGGAAATCAGCCCTGAGTGCTCACTGGAAGGACAGATCCTGAAGCTGAGACTCCAATACTTTGGCCACCTCATGAGAAGGGAAGACTCCCTGGAAAAGACCTTGATGTTGGGAAAGATGGAGGGTGCAAGGAGAAGGGGACGACAGAGGACGAGATGGTGGGACAGTGTTCGCGAAGCTACCAGCATGAGTCTGACCAAACTGCGGGAGGCAGTGGAAGACAGAAGTGCCTGGCATGCTCTGGTCCAGGGGGTCATGAAGAGTCGGACACGACTAAACAACAACAAATGTACATGCATCAACTGTAGTGAAGCCTGCCTTGCAGGACTGTTGCAAATATAAAAGCGGGGAGAGAAGAGGATAATGTTCACAAACTTGAACAGCTGGGTGGAAAAGCAAGATACAAATGTATGATGTCACATAGTGCTGAGTAAAACTATGGGACTGGCTCCCACAAAAGGCCGTCACGCCCTCCCCTTGATCATTTTCATTGCCCTTTTCCAACTCTACAATATCCATTTTCAAGTGAGGCGACCAGAACTGCATGCGGTCAGACCCATTGGTTCACCTAAGTGTTGCAAAGGTTGGATTAACCATTAAGCAAAATAAGCACATGCTTAGGGCATCAAGGGAAGGGCGGGGGTACCAAAGAAATTTCCCATTGCCAGATTTTTAACATTAATGGTCACAAGTTGCTCAGCTGAGCGTTCATTTTCTCAGCTGAAGTCTATTAAAAATCCCAACAGAACAACTACGCAACAAGGCAGGCTGGGTGCCTTATCTCTACCAAGCATAGAAGCAGATGTGTTACATAAGTTTTGAGAATCTAATCAAAGGCTTTGCAATTAGAGAAAGTAGGAGAAAAATTATCAAATATAAATAAAGTGGAAGTATATAAAACCAAACAAAGTATATAAAACCAAAGTATATAAGTATATAAAACCAAAGTATATAAAACCAAAATGTGGTCTTGACTATGCTACCACTCAGTGGATTTGTAACTGGCTGACTGACCGAACCCAAAGGGTGCTCATCAATGGTTCCTCTTCATCCTGGAGAAGAATGACTAGTGGGGTGCCACAGGGTTCTGTCTTGGGCCCGGTCTTATTCAACATCTTTATCAACGACTTGGATGATGGACTCAAGGGCATCCTGATCAAATTTGCAGATGACACCAAACTGGGAGGGGTGGCTAACACCCCAGAGGACAGGATCACACTTCAAAACGACCTTGACAGATTAGAGAACTGGGCCAAAACAAAAAAGACGAATTTTAACAGGGAGAAATGTAAAGTATTGCACTTGGGCAAAAAAAATGAGAGGCACAAATACAAGATGGGGGACACCTGGCTTGAGAGCAGTACATGTGAAAAGGATCTAGGAGTCTTGGTTGACCACAAACTTGACATGAGCCAACAGTGTGACGCGGCAGCTAAAAAGCCAATGCAATTCTGGGCTGCATCAATAGGAGTATAGCATCTAGATCAAGGGAAGTAATAGTGCCACTGTATTCTGCTCTGGTCAGACCTCACCTGGAGTACTGTGTCCAGTTCTGGGCACCACAGTTCAAGAAGGACACTGACAAACTGGAACGTGTCCAGAGGAGGGCAACCAAAATGGTCAAATGCCTGGAAACGATGCCTTATGAGGAACGGCTAAGGAAGCTGGGCATGTTTAGCCTGGAGAAGAGGAGGTTAAGGGGTGATATGATAGCCATGTTCAAATATATAAAAGGATGTCACATAGAGGAGGGAGAAAGGTTGTTTTCTGCTGCTCCAGAGAAGCGGACACGGAGCAATGGATCCAAACTACAAGAAAGAAGATTCCACCTAAACATTAGGAAGAACTTCCTGACAGTAAGAGCTGTTCAACAGTGGAATTTGCTGCCAAGGAGTGTGGTGGAGTCTCCTTCTTTGGAGGTCTTTAAGCAGAGGCTTGACAACCATATGTCAGGAGTGCTCTGATGGTGTTTCCTGCTTGGCAGGGGGTTGGACTCGATGGCCCTTGTGGTCTCTTCCAACTCTATGATTCTATGATTTTCCATCTTACTGTAGGTTTCATTTCATTTCAAAAAATAAAATTTTATTTTATGGTTTCTTATTGTTTACAATTTGAAATAGATATATATATGGGTGCACCAAAATATTTTAGGTGCTTGGGGCCTCTAAAGGTCTTAATCCATCCCTGAGTGTTGTTTACACTGATTCTCCAGAGTTTCATTTGGGACATTTGCAGCCATGCCTGGAGATGTCAGTGGTTGAACCTCAGCCCCTTTTGCATAAGGGAACATGTGGCTGCCCAGATGTTTTTGGACCACAGTTTTTACCAGGCTTGACCCTAGTGACTGGGGCTGCTTGCAGTTGGCATAAGGCACCAACCTTATATTGATCATATCTCCAAAGGCAGACCCTGATAGTCCTCCTTGAACTGACCAGGACTCTGTTACTTAAACGACTTGCTGGGCACTTTTCAAGGGACTTGTGCCATTTTAAGTTAAAAAGAAGAAATCTGCAGGCACAGTGTAAACCAAACATTTGCGTTTACCAGCCTGGCAAACAGATGTCTCTTCCTTAATGCATCCCAGTGTTATACGAAGATCATTTCTCAGTGGAAATGGAGATGGATATAATGAACACAGTCACTTTGTGATGAATGATAAAAAAATATATTAAGCTGCAGCAATGTGGTAGACATATGGCATGTTGATGAACTGGCTGTTTTTAGACCCGTAATTACTCCCATTTCACCTGCCACATGCCCAGTATCTGAAGAAGTGTGTGTGCACATGAAAGCTTATACCAATAACAAACTTAGTTGGTCTCTAAGGTGCTACTGGAAGGAATTTTTTTATTTTGTTTCGACTACGGCAGACCAACACGGCTACCTACCTGTAACTAGTTTTCCAAATGTTTACTATCTTTTTTGCCACCTGCCCTTGGCTAAAATACTGTTGTGCAGACCTCAATCTCCAAGTTCCAAGAGGCTCCGGGGGCACAGAGCATTATCCCCTCAGTAGATCTTGCTTCTCCCTCAAGTTTCCAGAGGAGACCCAAGCCCAGCACAGAGCAAGCCTGCCTCTGTGTCTCTAGCTTCCAGCATCAGTCAAGCTCACACAAAACAACTCCACCTCCCCCATTTTTCTCCATCCTAGGATGACTGTGGCATCTAGCCAGGTGAGGTGGGGAAATGCCCACAGATCTGTCTCTATGGCAACAGAACTCGCTCTTTTAAGATGCAGATGTTGGTGCAGAGATAAGCAGCTACCTTGACAAAGGAACTAGTCTGACAGGTTTCCTCTTATAGACCCTGCCCTCACAGATTCAGGATCGCAAGTTTGGAAGGGACCCCATGGCATCATCCAAACTGACCCTGCCAAACTCATTACAATACTATGATGTAAGAACAGCATTGATTCGGACTAAAGACGGCCAGAGGTGTGCCTAGGATGGCCCTGTATCCTACTTTACAGAGGACAGCCTTCTATTTGATGTATCCTTCTTTTCTTAATAGGTTTGTTGTTCCAAGCTATAAAATTATGTACTCTTTAAGCAGTTTAGATATCCAAATAAGCAAATAAAATGTGAGGGTATCGTGTTATTTCATTGGCTGTGCTGGCTGGGGCTGATGGGAGCTGGAGTCCAGCAGCATCTTGGGCCACAGCTTCCTCACTCATGCTCTGTTTAGTTAAAGCTATGGTTTTCCCAGTAGTGATGTATGGATTTGAGAGCTGGACCATAAAGAAGGCTGATCGCCGAAGAATGGATGCTTTTGAATTATGGTGCTGGAGGAGACTCTTGAGAGTCCCATGGACTGCAAGAAGATCAAACCTCTCCATTCTGAAGGAAATCAGCCCTGAGTACTCACTGGAAGGACAGATCGTGAAGCTGAGGCTCCAATACTTTGGCTACCTCATGAGAAGAGAAGACTCCCTGGAAAAGACCCTGATCTACTTCAGCGTCTGAGTCAGAGGCTTCTTTATCTTCCTGATCATTTCCATCCATGTAGGTGCAGCTCAAAGATTCTATGATTCTATGGCACACAGTTCCCCACTATGGCAAGATGTCATGCATTTCTATTTAAAAGGCAGTGATTATTCTAAATTTTGTGTGCATGTGTGCACACAATCATGCGCTAATGTCCTGCAAATCTGCGTCCTCTCCTCTCTTCTTAAGTGATGCCTAAGCAACTACCCTTATAGGAAGCCCCCAAAGGATGTTGGATTGCCAAACGTTCCCCTGTAAGAAGCTTGTTGTATCTCCTGTTTGGAGAAATGTGTTTAAGATTATCTCTCAAGCTATGCATAAAAAGCTTTGTCTTTTGTTATTTAGCGGAAAGAAACTGCCGTGTTCTGAAGACCTTTAGCCAAACGCTACCTCTGTCAAAATGTTGTAATAAATGAGGTAGGCTCCATTAGACCCAGTGGGATGCACATCTGGGTAAACATCCATAGTACTGCATTGTTAACTGGGTTAATTCCTTGATAAATCCTTTCAAGGCAGGGCTGTTTGCTAGCTAGAAGCACACTGTCGGTTGATAGCCCTGGGAGTTGAACATTTCATGACGAGCCAAGTCACAAGTGCGGACTCTATTCCTGGAATGAGCTGGATGCACATTTCAAGTGGGGAGGCTCGGAGATAATTCACGCAGGAGAATGAGCTGTGCTGCCAAACACATTTTGGTTAGGCCTCGAGCTCAGAAATAGCACAGCACCAGTTGTGTTCTTCTAAGGCAGCCCTTCCCTGAGCTGGTGCCATCTCTGTGCTTTAGATCACAACTCCCATCATCCCTGACAGTTGGCAGTGGTAGAGGCAGCTGATGGGAGTTGGAGTCCAGCAACATTGGGATAAGAGACAGCTCCTGAGGGAAAGCACAAACATGGCACCATGTGGGGGAGTGTGCTTGTGTAACCTACTGTTGTGTTCATCCCCAATCTCCAGGCAGCCAGAGACTCCAGTGGTGCCTATGATTACTGCGATTTTGGTTTCCTTGGAATGAAGGTCAATGGAGACTGTGGAGTCTTTAGGATACATGGTTTTCTTTATACATATATACAGCCTGAGTGTAGGAGGGGCTCACAGCATTAACACCCAAAAATATCCTGCTTCCCCATAAGGGTTCCAAGGGAACCCCAAGCTAGAAGCTTGGGTTCAGCACGGAGCAGACATGTCTCGATGTCCCCACTTCCAGCCTTGCTCAAAACTCACACACAACTCTCCTATACACAGGTCTCTTGGCCTCTTGTTCTCCATCCTAGGATGGTGTGGCATCCAGTTAGGTGAGGTGGGAAAAGCCCTGCCCCTTTGTCTCTATGGCAACAGAGCAAGTTCTTTGGATATGTCAAATCACAATACTTAACTTGCCAGCCAAAGCCATTATCGTAACAAAGGAACTTGTTCAGCAGCCTCTTCTACTAGATTCCAAGGAGGTCTGGAAGGGACCCAGCCAGGGTATCATCCAGACACTACAGTATCTACTGCTGATTCTGCACACTGAATGATGATTGTTATAGATGAGTGCATGTCCTGAGGATGCATGCCAATAAGCTGAAGAGTGTAGTCAAGCAGACAAGCTGTTTTGGAAACAGCATCAGTTTCTCAAAAGCAAAAAGCATGCTTTTGAGGTCTCTATTCCCAAGCAGCCTTCTTGCCAACCAGTTAGGGAAATAAAGCCCAGACTTATTTATTTCTCTGGGAAAAAGTCCACAAAATATCCCAAGTGCCTTAACAATATGTAGCATGCTTCTAACAATATTTAATGTTTCCTTGGGTGGCTGCCTTCCAAACTCCTTTCTAACCCTCATCAAAGCAAATGAGATTTGCTATCAGCCGTCCAAGGCCATCGCTGCTCATTTAGGCAAGCAGCTTCAATCTTAACGGTGTATCAAACAAATCAATGTGCTAAACAAAAGCCTAGATTCTCTCATACAATGCCTGCAACAATATATTGGACGAAAAGTTCATGTCCACATGAAGGTTTGGGCTGCTTAGATCTGGAAACCAATGTTATCCAGTTAATAAGGGTGTGGGAATTTTCACATATGAAACAGAAGTGCTTTTTTTTTTTGGTAAGAGATTTTAACACAAGGTGGTTCCATGTGGAATTTTAAAAGCCATTAACTTTTCACTTAATCTAAACTCATTGTGGCAAAATGCTGGTTCTTTTAGCAAGCTGGGGTCAAGGAAGGGAGAGAAAGAGAGAGAGAGAGACGGGTGCAATCTTAATTTTTAAGAATTCTCTATTCAGAATGCTTAAAATCCCTGGAGGAAACACATTGCATGGAGCCTTATCTGCAGAGATGCTGAAATAGGAACGCAGATACAAATCAAAGACCCTTTTCAAAAGGACATCAGACCAGAAGGACGTCCTCTCTCCCAGTGCCTTGGCAACAGCCCTCTGGAAATCTCCCAAATGACTGGAGAAACATCAGACAGATGTTTGGGTCCCTGTCAGGCCAGCTGCTGCTTTCGCCGCATTGCCAACCTGCTCCTTGCCGTTGCTACACAGTGTCGGCCACAATGCCCTGTCTGTCCAGCTTGGCATGTCCATGGCCTGTGGGCTGTCAGCTCCACAAAGCCTTCCAGTCTTCAAGGCCCCACATAAATGAATTACCAAAAGTTTCCCCCTTTGGCTGCAGGCAAAAGACAGTGATTGCGGTTGGTGTGCAGACCATATTTTCACTGCGCTGGCTCTGGAGAGCACGCATGCCAGCAGCAGCAGGCCCTTCTGGAGGGCAGGAGACACCCCCTTTCATCTCTGACTAATTGTTTCACCAGAGGGCAGCTCCCTAGAGAATACGGTGGACTCCAGGCGCACGTCCCCTCCCCAGACTTCCCCTCCAGGCGTCGGCTCTGGTTTTTGGCTTGGGCTGAAAATGTGACTGTCTGCTGAACCCAGAGCAGATGAATGCATGCAGCAAAGGCCATTGCCTTTTCTCCCTGCAGAACATCTTCTTCAGCACGAAATTCAGGACCCAAACCGGCCACAGAGATAACACTTTGCATTCAGGTACTGTGAGATAAGGGACGCGGGTGGCACTATGGGTTAAACCACAGAGCCTAGGACTTGCCGATCAAAAGGTCGGCGGTTCGAATCCCCGCGACAGGGTGAGCTCCCGTTGCTCGGTCCCTGCTCCTGCCCACCTAGCAGTTCGAAAGCATGTCAAAGTGCAAGTAGATAAATAGGTACCGCTCCGGCGGGAAGGTAAACGGCGTTTCCGTGCGCTGCTCTGGTTCGCCAGAAGCGGCTTAGTCATGCTGGCCACATGACCCGGAAGCTGTACGCCGGCTCCCTCGGCCAATAAAGTGAGATGAGCGCCGCAACCCCAGAGTCAGCCATGACTGGACCTAATGGTCAGGGGTCCCTTTACCTTTACTTTGAGATAACTGTGCACTGTACCTTGAACAATGACCCAGGTTCCAGATTCCTCTGCTGCCTCTTTTCCTTCAGTTGGGGAACTTGTTGCCTTCCAGGTGCTGTTGGACTCCAAATCCCACCAGCCCCAGCCAACATGGGAGTGTTGGGCATTGGAAGGCCAACAGCACCTTAGAGGGCCATGGATTCACCATCCCTGGCCTAACAGAAAACCCGACGCAGGACTGTATTAGGAGCCCTGCCAGGGATCTGTATATAACCTTGTAAATCTAGTAAGAGGCACCTGTGTGAAACCTGATTTCAGTACCAAGGTTTGACTTGATGTGACAGCACAATTGCAAGTATGGTTTGAGGCTACTTTCCAGGTATACTGCCTCTAAAAATGTGGGGGGGTGTGTCCATATAGCCACCACAGGTAATAACTGTTAGTAGGCTGAACCTCCTTCAGGGGAATTCCCTTCATATGTGGTGGATGTGTACCAAGGTGAAAGCCTACTGGGACATAATATATAATGAATTAAAAAAGGTTTTTAAATACAATTTCAATAAAAAAACCGGAGGTGTTTTTGTTAGGTTTAATTGGAGATGAAATTCCAAAAAAAAAAGATGTGAATTTGTTTATGTATGCAACAATGGCTGCAAGGATACTCCTGGCTCAGAAATGGAAACTTCAGGAACTTCCAACATTGGAAGAATGGCGGAGTAAGATGGTGGAATATGTAGAGTTAGCAAAGCTGATGGGGAAGATCCGGAATCAGCGCGATGAACTGTTTCAAAAGGACTGGAGCAAATTTATATTATATATGAAAGAACATTGTAAACATCTGAATATGTTTGTAGGTTTGAGTTGAAATGTTTTGTAATGAGAATATAAGGAACTGATTTACATTTAATGAGGGGAAATACAAAAATAAGAGAGAAGGTAAAAAAGTGGTTATAGAAAGGCTGAGAATAAAGTAAGTATCTATGGAAGTCAGAAAGAGGGGTGGGAGGAGGTCAATGCTCTGTTAGAGCGATGTTTGAGTTTATTGAATTGTGTATTGAAACTGGGATTATGATAAAATTGAAAATGCAATAAAAATTATTATTAAAAAAAACCTCCTTCACCAACCCGGTGCCCTTGTGATGTTTTGAACTACAACTCCCATCAGCCTCAGCCACAACAGCCAATGGTCAGAGTGATGGAAGTTGTAGTGCCAAACATCTGGAGGCCACCAGGCTGGTGAAGTCTGGCTTAATCCCATTTTAAAGCATTTCGTAAATGATGCAGGTCACCGCTTGAAATACATAAGCAGCGGGGAACTATGCATGGCTCCATCGGTAGAGCATGAGACTCTGAATCTCAGGGTCATGGGTTTGGGCAAAACATTCCTGCATTGCAGCGGGTTCGACTAGATGACCCTCATGGTCCCTTCCAACTCTATTGTTCTATTGTTATTGGAGGAAAAGCCAACATGGTGCCTTTCAGAGGCATCAGGGATCAAACCTGGGATGTTCTTCATGCAAAGGAGATACTCTGTTTCCTGGGCGAAAGCCCTTCCCTGTAGCGAAAACGTTTATTTCGCGGCCCACGCAGGGATAAGGCTCCTCCTCGCTGCACACCAGCTGCCTGGATTGTAAGTGGGGTCTCATCCTGTACCTCACACACGACAGCATGCAAGCTTCTTGTCCAGCCCCGTAGGCAAAAACGTCGCAAATGAAGCCACTTGCTTCTCCACTCCATATCTGAACACCCAAATATGCTGCTCACTTTATTGTTATTTTAGTTGGGCTTGTTTGCTAGCTTTCTGTGGGGAGCCACACGCAGCACACGAGACAAATAATAATAATAATAATAATAATAATAATAATAATAATAATTTATTATTTGTACCCCGCCCATCTTGCTGGGTTTCCCCAGTTACTCTGGGCGGCTTCCATAGAAACCAAAAATACACTAAAATATCACAGATTATCACAAAGGAACGCAAATGGCCCCCACCTGCCTGCTGCCTCCTTGCCACCTGTCCTGCTTCAAAAGGGGTTTGTGGCTCAGTGCAGGATTAGAAAAGAACAGGTGGATGTGGCTGGTCTGGTTGGGAAAGGGAAGGAGAGTAAAAGAGAACAATGGATTTCGAATGCCTGTGCAATGTTTGCGTGTGTTTTATTTGGAAGGACATTTTTATTTATTTATTTCTGCCTTCCTAGAGTTTTGCCTTCTTGTTTGGGGTGGAGCACGATGCACAGATTGTGGCTGCATATCTTAGAGGCCACATTTATACCATACAGTCATACCTGGGTCCCAAACTCCTTGCGACACTAACATTTTGGCTCCCGAATGCCACAAATCCAGAAGGGAGTGTTCCGGTTTGCAAACGCTCTTTGGAATCCAAACGTCCGATGCGGCTTCCGATTGAGCGCAGGAAGCTCCTGCAGCCAACCAGAAGCCACGCCTTGGTTGTCAAATGTTTTCGGAAGTTGAACGGACTTCCGGAACAGATTCTGTTTGACAACCAAGGTATGACTGTATATTGAAAACTCTCCAATTCCACTTTAAGCAGTCATGGTCCCCCCCCCCCCGCCAAAGCATATTGGGAGTTGTAGTCTGTTAAGGGTGCTGAGTGTTGCTAGGAGACCTCCCTATTGCCCTCCCAGAGATACAATTCCCAGAATTCCCTGTGAAGAGGGATGGATTGTTAAGCAACTAAGACACAGGGGAGAGAGACTTTGGGAGGGCTGGGCTGAAATTCCCCCTCAGCCATGAAGCTCACTGGGTGCCCTTAGGCCGGTCTCTGTCTCTCAGTCTGACCCATAGGAGCTAACTCCTAGGGGCCAGGGCCCCTTCACTCCCCCAATAAAATATTTCAAGGAGCTGGGCTCCCCAAAACTGAGGGCATTGCCATTCAAATGGTTTATGTGTGACTGATAAAAATGTGACTGATTATTTGGGATGGGGCTTACCTGGGCCCCCCAATATTTTATTCAAGTTGGCCCCCCTGCTCTGACCTGTCTCACAGAGTCGCTTTTCTTGTATGTGTGAGGCAAGGAGAGAACCTCATCCACCAGCTTGCATGGAATTAAAATACAGTGGTACCTCGGGTTACAGACGCTTCAGGTTGCAGACATTTCAGGTTACAGACTCCACTAACCCAGAAATAGTACCTTGGGTGAAGAACTTTGCTTCAGGATGAGAACAGAAATCGTGCGGCGGCAGCGCAGCAGCAGCGGGAGGCCCCATTAGCTAAAGTGGTGCTTCAGGTTAAGAACAGTTTCAGGTTAAGAACGGACCTCCAGAACGAATTAAGTACTTAACCTGAGTTACTACTGTATAGCCAGAGGTACCACTGTATAACAACATAACAACCTGAGGTACCATTGTATAACAACCTGAGGTACCACTGTATAACAACAAATAATTCAATTTGGTGGTGGTTGTTTCTAAACTGCTGAGCCGGTAATAAAGACAAAACAGCTAGTGAACCAGAGATGAGGTCAGATGTGAACTTGGAAGCACAACTGGATTCCAAACAATCTATATATATGGTTTTACAATAAAATGTCATCGATCAAGACCTGTAGAGCATGACATGCTTATTGCCAATCACATATACAAGAAAGAAACCTGATCAGGGGCACCGCCAAAGAACTGAACCGTTGAATGCAGCACCAAGGCTTCTGCTATTGATGGCCTAATTAAGTGTGAGAGTCTGGAGGTCCGACACTGACATCACTTCTGTTTACATAGCAAGATACATGGGAACCAGACCTTATCAAAATGATCGTGCTTAGCTTGGCCTCTTAAAAACCCTTCTGTGTTGCATTAGATGCTCGGGAAGAGCCAGAACTCAAACATTCCCTTGCAATCCCATCAGTAATGGGCCTTTGGGGTCTTTCCAGGAGGAAAGAAGAGCCTGCTGGCTGGATCAGGCCAAGAGCCCATCTAGTCCAGCATCCTGTTCTCACAGTGGCCAATCAGATGCCTGTGGGAAACTCACAAGCGGGACTTGAGCACAAAAGCCCTCTCCCCTCCTGGGATCTCCAGCACCTGGCATTCAGAATCAACATTTCCTCCAACCATGGAGGCCAAGCACAGCCATGATGGCTAGGAGCCATCAACAGACCTCCATGAATTTGTCCAGTCCTCTTTGAGAGCCATCTAGGTTGGTGGTCCTCAGTGCCTCCTATTCTACAGATTCCACAGGTCAACTTTGCCCTGCATGAAGAAGTCATTTATTTTACCTGTTCTGAGTCTTCCAACATTCATCAGTTTTTCTTGCTGTATTTAGGTAAGAACTGCATGCAGATGAAGGGGATGTACAGAAGAAGAGGAGTTTGGATTTGATATCCCGCTTTATCACTACCCTAAGGAGTCTCAAAGTGGCCAACAATCTCCTTTTCCTTCCTCCCCCACAACAGATACTCTGTGAGGTGAGTGGGGCTGAGAGATTTCAGAGAAGTGTGACTAGCCCAAGGTCACCCAGCAGCTGCATGAGGAGGAGCGGGGAATCGAACCCAGTTCACCAGATTACGAGTCCACTGCTCTTAACCACTACACCACACTGGCTCTCAGTCTGAAGGAGGCTGTGTGAGACACAGGGAAGGGGAGATCTCTCAGGGTGAGAGGCTGGGAGAAGAGAGGGATGTTCCCAGGTAACAGCTGGGAGGACACACCTTTTCTGTATGGGACAAAAGTTAAGAAACATTTGCGAGATAGGATCCTTCCTGTATTCTCCTATTTCTTTTCTTTTCTTTGTTATTTGCCATGTAGATTGGCTTGCCTTTTTTCGTGTTGTGAAAAGTGTTGATATAACTTTACAGTCGTACCTTGGATCCCGAACACCCAGAAACTTGGACGTTTTGGCTCCTGAATGCCGCAAACCCGGAAGTGATTGTTCTGGTTTGCGAATGTTTTTTTGGAACCCGACGTTCGACAAGGCTTCTGGTTGGTTGCAGGAGCTTCCTGCAGCCAATCAGAAGCCACCATTTGGTTTTCGAACATTTTGGAAGTCGAACAGACTTCCGGAACGGATTCCGTTTGACTTCCAAGGTTTGACTGTATTAAGAAAGAAAGAAAGAAAGAAAGAAAGAAAGAAAGAAAGAGAAGCCATTTCTTTTATCTTTCCTGAGTCTTCCAACATTCAGCATCATTGGATGCCCAGGAGTTCTAGTGTTGGAAGAGAGGGAGGAAAACCTTTCTCCACCTGCTTTCTCCATGCCAGGCGTCATTTTATAAACTTACAAATGTCGATCCTGCCGCTAAACTTCCTTCATGTCGATGGGAGGCGATGTCCCAACGGGCAGCACTGAATGGAACAATCCGTCCTTGTATGAAGGGAAGGTTCCTGGAGGGGGGAAATTCTCTACGGAAACGCAGAGCGGTGGCATTGAATAGGCCCCTCAAAGAGGGGCCTGAGAAAAGGTTGGTGAGGAGACCCAGAGAAAGGGAGGCAGGAGGGAGAGGGAACAACGGGGGGCCAATCTATTGAAAAAGAAGAAGAAGAAGAAGAAAAAGCTGGAGAGGATCCCCATTGTGTCCTCAGCACGAAAAAAGGGTCACCAACAAGTTAAACTGGTTAATGTATTGGGGCGGCTTCCTTAGCATCGTTGCATGAAAGCCAAGCAGAGCGAGACAAAAGCCAGAGAGAAGCATTCTTGGGCTCTCTTTAAAAGGATTTCGCTTCTTTTCTGTCCCTTGAATGGTATTCAGTGGTGACTCCTTCAAGGCTAAGATTTCTCTCTCTTTGGTGGCAGGAGTGGGTCAGCCCCCTGGCCCAGCACATTCTTCTCTCCCCGGCAACGGCAAACAAGCCCCTCGCAGAGCTGCCATTGCAGCCGCCATTGTTGCCGTGGGGCGGGGGAGAGGTGGGTCGGAGGGGCACAAACGGGCCCACGAAAGCTTTTGAGCCCGCCTGAAAGCGGGTGGCGTAAGGTGGGGGTCCCCCGCCCTGCCTGGTTTCTCATGCATGTCATTCAGGGTGACTTTTCACATCAGAAGTGGAAAAATAAATAGGCAAGCGGGGGGAAGAGGAGGGAGATGGTGGCTGTCAGATGCTCTGGCCTGCTTTCTCAAAGGCTTCGCTTGCTCTGCCTTAACACTTTCGTAGCTGGATGCTATCAAGAGACAACTGCAGCCAGCCAGTGCTGGCTCCAGATTTTTCCCCTGCTGTTTCTGACACTCTTGGGTGCTTTCTGCAATATGGGCATAGTGGTGGGGACCTCCAGTGCCATCACTGTGCCATCACCTGCTCTGTGTCAGAAGCAGTGCCCTTACTGGAACGTCCCATGCAATTTGGCTCCTAGTCAAACAGGCTCAGCTTATACTTCATCCCTTTAAGGGTTTTGTCCAATAAGACAGTTTTATTTCATAATGCATTTGCACTCCCAACTCAACCTTCCAAAGGGAGCATGAAGTGTTGCGGAAAGAAGAGATAGCAGAGGAATATCACAGTGAAACCAACAGAATGCAGTTTTAGCTATAAGCTAAAAATTGTGTGTTGAGCACACCATTTTGATGTATCCTTTCCCAGATGGATTTCTGACCCCTGTTTATAATCCAGCAACATCTGGAGGGGCCAGAGGTTCCCCTGTTCCTGTTCTATGCTGACTGACAGCTCTAGTCACCATTATAATTTTTCTCATAACATCAGTTTTAGAAGACTTCCCCAACCCTACCTGAAGAAGCCAATGGTCAAACTTCATGTCCTTTCTGCAGTCAAAGCAAGTGATCTGCCACGGAGCTACAGCCATTCATTTTTTGCTCGTGGGAACATAAGGCTTGGCACTCTCAGATAACCGGTTTGGAACCAACAATTTATTTAACCAGCATGCTGTGGGAATATCGGCTTTGTCTCAGAGGCCACCTGAGCTTCCACTAGGGAGTAGAGCTGGCTGGGTGTCCATCAATATACGGATGATACCCAGCTCTACCTCTCTTTTAAATCGGAACCAGTGAAGGCAGTGAAGGTCCTGGAGGCGGTTGGAGAATGGATGGCAGCTAGTGGATTAAGGCTGAATCCTGACAAGACAGAAGTACTGTTTTGGGGGGACAGGGGGCGGGCAGGTGTGGAGGACTCCCTGGTCCTGAATGGGGTAACTGTGCCCCCGAAGGACCAGGTGCGCAGCCTGGGAGTCATTTTGGGCTCACAGCTGTCCATGGAGGCGCAGGTCAATTCTGTGTCCAGGGCAGCTGTTTACCAGCTCCATCTGGTACGCAGGATGAGACCCTATCTGCCCACAGACTGTCTTGCCAGAGTGGTGCATGCTCTAAGCAAAAACATGGGCCAGTGAGGGGTGGTGTGGGCTGGGGAGAGATATGAGGGCCACCTTGAGAGACTCCCAGGGGCCATATTTGGTAGAAGGCAAATTCCTCTTCTCGTCTGGGGTTGGGTGGAGGGGCAATGCCATGGCAGTCAGCGCTGCTGTAGCAGAGTTTCTTAAGAACCCTGTGCCCGTGTTTATTGGGGGTTAATCCAGCTGCGCCCTTTGCCAACAGTTTCCTTTTGGAAATGAGTGTTTTCACCCAGCAGCTTTTCGGATGACAGCAAAGAACTCAGCCAACAGCGACCGCCTTCTTGAAATGATCCCAAGGCATGCTCCCAGCCCTGCTGGGACATGCAGCGAAATCCGAAGGCAGCACGTTGCTTGGAAGGAAACGCTCTCTGTCCTTCATTCTTTGCCTTAATTAACTTGTTCAGCTTTGTCTTGTTGCCAAGTGGGAGATACCGGTGGCCTTGTCCACACATGCAGCTTGCATCTCTGGCACGATGGCCCCCCCAACATATGAGCAGAAGAAAACGGCAGCGCTTCCAGCGAGCATCCATGAGGACTAGAAAGTTGTGCTTTTCAAAGGAAGCTCAGATTTCTGGGGAAACCGCCTGCTTATGAACAACAAAGTTGCATTATACTGGCAAATCACCAGTCCATTGAGCTGCAGTATCAGTGCTGTACAGGAGGAGGGAATGCAGATTCAGGGCTTTAAAAAAAAATTAGGGCAATAGCGGTGATGCCATTTGCCAGAGTATTCAATGGACCGCCCCTTGTTCCAGCAAATGAATGAGGCGAATTTTTCCCCCATTAGGAAATATAGGTCTTTTTCAACAAAAGCTATTTCCTGACTCTCCCTTGTATAATGTTTCCACTGGAACAGCCTGTCCTAAAGGCTTTTTTTGAACACACTCAAATTCTGTATTTACTCTGCAGAATAAACCTTTTGCTCTAGGCTGATGTATGCCAGCATTTGCTAATGTGCCACCCACAGGGTCCCCTCCCCCCAGCCCATTAATTAATTCTGTTGCAAATGGGCCTAAGGGCTCCCAAAGGGGGCTGAATCCTGTATCACACTCACAGGGATGAACAGAACATCTGGGAAGACAGGCCTCATCCTTAGTCCCGGTTCTCCTTAAGAAAAGATATTTCCTTTTTCTGTCTTGCAAGCAGATAAAGGCTCTTTCATAGTTTTATTTTTGCATCCAGAGCCTCCCCGCCACACTTGATAGGCAGCCCAAATACCACTCTGTTTCCAAGAGACAGAATAGTCGGCCTTCTCCTGACGATTTCCTATCTCCATTTTGCCACAGTGTGAAAAGGAGATGTATAATCTTTTTATAGGGTGGGAGGCGAACTTAGAAGCTGTAGTCAAGCCAGATGTGTCTTACCTCTCCAGGATCAAGTTTGGAATAACAACCAAGCACAGTTCTGCAAGTCTGAAGCATCCACCAGCTGTGCCCAGTGCCGATTGGCTGTCTGCTATGGTGTCAGCAGGAAATCTCCCCAAGCCAATTTTACAATAAAATAAAAGGAAAAAAGCTTTCTTCAAAATATTTCAGGTGGCAAATTAATCTTTAAACATATGCCTATTCACATTTGGAAAATTTAGTTTAACAACTAATCCCTCTTCCCAGGGAACTCTGGGAATTGTAGTTATGGGAAGGGAATAGGGGTCTCCTGAACACCCTTCAGCGCTCCTAACAACTACATTTCCCAAGATTCTTTGGGGGAAGTCATGAGTTTTTAAAGTGGAATGATATTGCTTTAAAAGAATAGTGTGGATGAGGACCGGACCGCCTTCCTTTTGTTGTTGTGCCTTGGAAAGAGTCGAGTGTGAGTTCTGCTGAGAGTTTCGTGAATGTATGTTTCTCTATGAATTTGTTGATTTGTTTATTGGTTGGAGGTTTGAACTAGGACCTGGCAGAACAGGGTTCAAATCCACATGTCAGCCATGAAGCTCCCTTGGTGACCTTCGGGGCCAGTCTCAGCCTAACCTACCTCACAGGGTTGTCGTGAGGATAAACAGGGCAGGAGGAGAACTATGTGGGGTCAGGAATGATTAGAGATCCTGTTTTTATATAAAATAACCAGCTATATTTGCTACTGTATAAAATTGTGCTTGCTGTCTCTGTTTCCCTGCTGGAGAACCTATCAAGTGTTATGCTAAAGAAAGCTAGTTTGCAGTCCATCAGCCTGGTCTGTTGAAGTTGAATCTCTTCCTTTGTCTATTTGTTAGGTAAAGGTAAAGGGACCCCTGACCATTAGGTCCAGTCGCGGACGACTCTGGGGTTGCGGCGCTCATCTCGCTTTATTGGCCAAGGGAGCCGGCATACAGCTTCCGGGTCATGTGGCCAGCATGACTAAGCCGCTTCTGGTGAACCAGAGCAGTGCATGGAAACGCCGTTTACCTTCCCGCTGGAGTGGTACCTATTTATCTCCTTGCACTTTGACGTGCTTTCGAACTGCTAGGTTGGCAGGAGCAGGGACCGAACAATGGGAGCTCACTCTGTCGTGGGGATTCGAACCGCCAACCTTCTGATCGGCAAGCCGACGCCACCCGCGTCCCCATTGTCTATTTGTTAGGGACTCGTTAATTACCTCTTATCAGCTCTTGCTTGCAATGTGTTAAGGAGGCATTTTATTGTAGAGTCAAAGATTTACAATCCAAGATAACAAAAAGAAATAGCAGATGCTACTTTGGGGATTCTGCACATGTTCTGGAGCCTATTAGGATCTCATGAATATTAGAAGACACACCCAGGGCAAGTGCTAAGGCTAATCTAAATGCACATAGTTACAGGTAGGTAGCCGTGTTGGTCTGCCGTAGTCTTGGAGCCTCAGCTTCAGGATCTGTCCTTCAGGGCTGATTTCCTTAAGAATGGATGCGTTTGATCTTCTTGCAGTCCATGGGACTCTCAAGAGTCTCCTCCAGCACCATAATTCAAAAGCACCAATTCTTCGGCGATCAGCCTTCTTTATGGTCCAGCTCTCACTTCAGTACATCACTACTGGGAAAACCATAGCTTTTACTCTACCGGCCTTAGTCGGCAAGGTGATGTCTCTACTTTTTAAGATGCTGTCTAGGATCTCCTGTCTACAGGCTCTTATTGGCATTAGCAGCGCCTGGGACAATAAAAAGCTCTGATTAGCAGACCCAACTACTTTGTGTACCACTCCATGCTCCTCAGAGGAAAGGTGATGTGTAAATGCGATAAATAAACAAAACAAATATTTACACCCCGGACTTTCAGCAACAAAGGGTTCCCTGTACATTTATGGTCTTCAGTGGTTCTTGGAATGTTTGCATTGTACAACACACATGTTGCAAGCTTCTTTGAAATCCTCCTCCACTCCAATTAACATTTCACATTTCCTTTGATTTACAACTTGTTATTAATATAATACAATGATATATAGTTCAGTGAACATATTTAATATGAAAAGGTGTGCGATTTGTACTTCACAGCTAAAATAATTCCAATACATAAATTAGCACGTTTCATATAAACGCTTTCCATCTTATTTTATTTTGGGGGCTGGAGGCTATTATCAGGGATCGAAATGTTAGAAATGAAATAAATAAATCTTTGTAGGCTGTAAACAGTAAGAAGGTTGATATACACTACAGCATGATTAAAATCTTCCCCAGAGGTAATAATGTTTTAATCTGAAGAGTCTTTGGATAACTTTCCCTTTTCCAGGTGTTGATGAGGTGAAAAAGCTGGAGGGGTAGGGGGATGCTTCAAAGCACAAAAGTTGGATGAATGGGTGAGCCTTGAATTACAGTACAGATCACACAAAACACAAAATGTTAGCATTTAAATGCAAGGGTAGAAGTTAACTTCAGTTAAATGCTCTGCGCACACCTTTAGTTGAAAAGTATTCAGACTCAGGCTTATTATAAAACAAAAAAGCATATGTTTATTAGTAGCCATTGATAGCTCAGTCAATAGAGCACAAGGCTCTTAATCTCAGGAACATGGATTCGAGCCCCACGTTGGGCAAAAGATTCCTTCATTGCAGAGAGTTGGACTAGATGCCCCTCAGGGTCCCGTCCAACTCTACAATTGTATGATTCTATCTTAAAAAGCAGAGACATCACCTTGTCGACAAAGGTTCGTATAGTTCAAGCTATGGTTTTCCCAGTAGTGATGTATGGAAGTGAGAGCTGGACCATAAAGAAGGCTGATCACCAAAGAATGGATGCTTTTGAATTATGGTGCTGGAGGAGACTCTTGAGAGTCTCATTGACTGCAAGAAGATCAAACCTCTCCATTCTGAAGGAAATCAGCCCTGAGTGCTCACTGGAAGGACAGATCCTGAAGCTGAGGCTCCAAGACTTTGGCCACCTCATGAGAAGAGAAGACTCCCTGGAAAAGACCCTGATGTTGGAAAGATGGAGGGCACAAGGAGAAGGGGATGACAGAGGACGAGATGGTTGGACAGCGTTCTCGAAGCTACAAACATGAGTCTGACCAAACTGCGGGAGGCAGTGGAAGACAGGAGTGCCTGGCGTGCTCTGGTCCAGGGGGTCACGAAGAGTCAGACATGACTAAACAACTAAACAACAACATAACTGAAGGAAGTTCATTCTTGATAGGAAAGAGTTCCATGCTTGCCCCTTTGTTCTCAGAAGGCAGATCCACAATGACCTCTCTCCTCTTGTCCAGATATTTACTGTACTTTTCCGTGTATAAGACGCCCCCTATTTTGGGGGACTCAAATTTAAGAGAATGGAGGGAGGTGGCACAGAGTTGTTGATCTTTTTTTGCGGAGGATTGCCCTAATTTGTTGAGCTCAACCGCACGTGTTGCAAAATCTACCTCTCATCTGTCCCCTTGCCAACACAAGCCGCCACCCACCCACCCAATTACTGCAGCATCAGCCAATCAACACCAGCCATTCACGCAGCAACCAATCACACGCACAATAGCCAGTAACAGCTGTGGCAGCAACCAATCAAACACCCGTCCTATGCACTACCCGTGTATAAGACGACCCCCATTTTTTAGCATTATTTTAAAATAAAAAAACCTAGTCTTATACACAGGAAAGTACGGTATATATGAAATTCTCCTCCAGTTTTTCAGAAACAAGACATTTCAGTCTAAACACCAAAGAGATAAAGAGAAGTCAGCATAGCAATAAAGGTACAGGGATAATCTGGAAAACTGAAGGCCCCATGCTCTATCTGCAAACCCATCTCAACAATCTGAGTTGCACCCAAACGTCCAACACATGCAGGAAATTTGATAGGTGCTGCCTTTAGTTGTCTGCAAAGTATTGGAAGACACAAGATCTACCCACTCTGGAAGAATGGCAGATGAAGGTGATGGACTACATGGAATTGGCGGAAATGACTGGCAGAATCCGAGACCAGGGTGAAGATTCGGTGGAAGAAGATTGGAAGAAATTTAAAGACTATTTACAGAAATATTGTAAAATTAATGGATGTTAGAATGATGTCAGAATGAAATTAAGTGGTTCTAGCAGCAATGTCATAAAGGTGTATGAAAAAATGGCTGGTTAATAGGTGAGAATCTAAAGCTATAATATATTAAGTTAAAGGACTAAGACAAAAACAAAGAGGGAAAGGAATTGCTGAATTAACCAATTGAACAGGAATACAAAAAAGGGAGGTGAGAGGAGGTCACGGAAGCAAGGAAATGAAATGTAAGATACGGAAGGATTAATTTGTTTTTGAGTGTTTTTTCTAAAAAAAAATTCTATACTCTGTATTTTGTATGTTTTTTCTCTTTTTTTTCTTCTATATTTTCCCTTGTCTCTTTTATTTTTAACTATGTAATTTTTTGTTTCTGAAATTTTAATAAATATCATTAAAAAAAAAGAAAGACTAAGAATGTGTTCCATGCTGGATGGACCACCAGGTCCTTTTCAGATCTACTGGCTTCTTCCTTGCCCAAGCCTGGATCTGTTGCTCTGATTGCATTTCTCCAGTTCCATAAGGAAGGCCTTGTTTGGGACCCAGCCCAACCCACGGAGCACATTTCGCCTGTGCAGTTAAGTAAAGGGAGCAATTAACACTGGAATGTGGGCAACGGGCCACTTTAACTGTTGCCTTCAAGAGGGGCTTAGTCAGTTCCTGGCAGATACTTGGGCCCTGATTACACTGGAGGGCTGACATTTGCGTTCTCCCTTAATCATGCTAACCTTCAACGTTTTTTAAGGGCTTTCGAGAAGCAGAAATCCTCAGTGGATGCTTCTCCTTCAAGTCACCTCCCTGCTCATGTTGGAAAGGACACAAACTGCTCTTCCCACCCAGATGGGAGCCAGTGAAACTCGCGAACATCTCAGCACCTCTGAAGGTTTCGAGCCAAATTAACGCTCGCTTTTGCAAAGGAGCCGCAGAGAAAGGAGGACTTCTCTCGACCAAGTAAATCACTTACGGAACTCCCCACCACAAGAGGTGCTGGACGATGAGCTTCTGATGGCTTTGACATATTGTCAGGCCCAACACCAACGTCCGAGCAGCAAGGGGCTTTAGGGGTGCCTGCCAGGCGTGCCGGGTTCTGTGCAACACTGTGGGACCCAGCACATGTGTGACATCACACATGCAGTGCGCATGACGCCACATGGCAGGAGGAGGCCCCACAGGACCCAGTGTGCCGTCTTAAAGGCCTGATGGGAGGGCCCTCATTTAACATTTGGGGGGGGCTCAACACCCCAGCCCCCCACATATAGCATGCCTGCTGCCTGCGCTTTCCCAGGGTTCAGTTTCCTTACAATGCAGATCAATGCAGACTGTGGTGTCTGTAGGATATATAGTTTTATTGACATATGGGGTGTCAGGGGAGGAGTAGAGCCTCTGGACCCGCTCTCTGCAATGGCTCTGTTTGCATGTGAATGTAATCACTCTATGGCTGCAGCTTCACACCATCAAGTGACGAAAGCTCACATGTGCAAACCAGCCTGGAGAGGCAGATTTTAAACGGAGCCTTAATTATACCTCTCTGGGGGTTTCAGTTGCAACGAGATTCCATTCCTGAAACACCCAAACAGTGAAAGGGGGGAGAGAGGGGGCAGCAGTCAAAAAAATAATAATTAAAGGTTGGCTTTTTTAATTTTTCAAGGACTTGGGTTATATTTTTTACCGAAAAGTCCTTAAAAACCCAGTCATTCTAATCTGTCACCGCGATGGAATGTTTTCCCCGTGGCTAACCAAGGGGAGCTAACCTTCCCAGCTCTTTCCCTGGGGAAAGAGTTATTTAATCGCTTAACCACATACAAATATACACTTTGAAATCAGTCTGTATTGGGAAAGGATAGAAATGTCTAGAAAGTGGTTTCTAAGAAAGAGAGAAGAAAACAAAGATGGGAATTCTTCCCCCCCTCAAAAAAAAAAAACACAGTAATTTGTGGCTTAGTTTCCCATTGGGAACATGCTATGAAGTCTAAGGACATTTCACCAAGCTTTATGGACAAGTGGGGACTTGATTCTAGTCTGACGCCCTAACCACTGCACAACACTGTCTCTTCAGCTTCGTCTATATTCCTTAAGAGCAAAAGAGCATAAGAAGAACCTTGCTGGATCACATCAATGGGCCATTGAGCCCAGAATCCCGTTCTCACATTGGCCAGAAAGATGTCCCAATGGTATTCGTTACTGTCCTGGGACATTCGCAGGGAAACCAAAATGCTTGTCTACAAAGCTATTGTATTATCAACCTTGCTGTATGCTTGTGAAACATGGACCACTTATAAAACGCCAGCTCCAATTCCTCAAAAGATTCCATCAACAGTGTCTCTGAAAATTTTTACACATCACTTGGGAAGGCAGGCGAACTAATGTCCATGTACTGGAAGAAGCAAAGATCACCAGTGTTGAAGCTATAATTCTTCAACATCAACTTCATTGGACTGGTCATGTTGTGCGGATGCCTGATTATCGTCTTCCAAAGCAACTACTCTATTCCGAACTTGAAAATGGAAAGCGTAATGCTGGTGGTCAAGGCAAATCTAAAAAAATGTAGGATAAACACTGACAACTGGGAAACACTGGCCTGCAAGTGCTCTAATTGGAGAACAGCCTTTACCAAAGGTGTCATAGACTTCGAAGACGCTCGAACACAGGACGAAAGGGAGAAACATGTTAAGAGGAAGCCACACTTGGCAGACCCTCACCATGATCAACTCCTGCCCAGAAACCTATGTCCCCACTGTGGAAGGATGTGTGGATTCAGAACTGGCCTCCACAGTCACATAAGGCCTCACTGTTAAGATTGTGTTCATGGAAATCAGTCTTACTCGGCTATGAGGGATCGCCAAAGAAGAAGTAGAAGAAGAAGAAGGTTTGTTACTGCCTCCAACCTGAACCTTCCAACGTTCAGCTTCATTGTATGTTCACAAATTCTGGTGTTCTGAGAGTGGGAGAAAACCTTTTCTGTATCCAATGCATAATTTTATAAGTTCATATCACATTGCCTCCAGTTCAGTCTTCTCACTAAACTAAAAAGTTTCTCCATCCCCTGAACGATTTTGGTTGCTCCTTCTCAACCTTTTCCAGATCTGCAATATCCTTTTTGAGGCGAGGCAACCAGTTCTGTGCAGTATTCCGTTCCTAATGATCCCTAGCATGGAATTTGCCTTTTCTTCACAGCTGCTGCACACTGGGTTGATCTGTTAGATCTCTGTGGAAGCCCCTAAGGCAGTATCCCCTGGCCTGATGCCCACCAGATGTTCTCAGACTCCCCTCAGCCCCAACCAGCATGCCTAATGGTCAGGGAAGATGGGAGTTGTAGTCCAACACATCTGGAAAGCCTCCGGTTGGGAGAAGGCAGAATGTCTGCCTTGCAAGCAGAAGGTCCCAGGTTTGATACCCAACATCTCCAGGTTGGGTTCGGAGAGATTTCTGCCTGAAATCTTGAAGAGCTGCTGCCAGTCTGTGTAAACAATACTGCGCTAGATAGACCAGTCATCTGACTCAGTACGAGACAGCTTCCTATGTTCACCTAGGAGAGGCTGAGCTCAGACGTGTGTCTGTGTTGCATGACCTCAGCATAGCTTCACCCTGGGTTCCATCTCTTTGTCACACCAGAATGTGACAAGGCAACGGGACCTAGGAACTTGTTCCAATGCAGTGCATGTTTATTTGTGTTCCCCCTTTCACCTGCCCTTCTAAATTACCCGTGTCTCTTGCCACCTCTAAACTATCAATCCCCTGCACAATGACAAACACACTGTTTGAGCAATGTCAACTATTTTAGCCTTGAACCCCAATACACCCCTGTCTAGTGTTACTGTTTCGGATCAGAATTCTTTGATCACAGCCTCCTGTAATGCCAGGAATATTTTAAAGGCTCCGACTTTGTTCCCATCACAGCTGCTATTGTTTCTAGGGAAGCGTAAACACGGAACCCAAAAGGGACATGGAGGGGAAATTA